GTTTTTCTACCCCCACCATCTAAATCCTGCAAAGCTCAAAGCTTTCATCAGACTTGATTCCATGACAGATGAATTGGTTTTCCAGGCCGGACTAATCCTTAAAATCAAACAGAAGCAGGGCCCCACTGAAGCTTGTAAGAAGCCCCTCAGCTGCTGCTGCAGCATGAGCAGTTAGTCTGAAAGTGAAATACACTTTGCATCGCCTGCTTTGAGTCTCGACTCTCATACACTGTTTTTACAGCATACTAGAGCTTACTCTGCCTCTTTTTCTTCTTCTTCTTTCAATTTGATGCATACATTATTACAGCCCGGAAATGTGACAACAACTTGGGACATTTGTCATTTAAGACCATGTGCTTGCCAGACAGCCACACAACACCAAATTCCCTTTTGGTTAACCCTTCTCTAACATCTAGATATATGCCTTATGAACATAATTAATGCACATGAATAAAATGACACCTGAATATGCCTTGGAATAAGACTAAAATAATTAAAAATGCCTTAAAATCAACCTAAAAAATATGTGGCTTTTAATAAACCAAAACAATGATAATGACAAAATAATGTACCTACACCTATCTTGCAATACACACAAGAACTAACTAAGCAAACAAATCATTCAGATAATGAACCTTATACTGAATAATGAGACTCAAATATGCCCTATAATGTGTTTCAAACACCAAAATATGCATCATAAACCTAATATTCAACATCCACACCAAAATATGTCAAATTGTGCCTTAGCATATACCTATATATATATATATATACCTTCAAATACAAAACGGGACTCAAAATTCCTCATAGTAACCCAAATTTATAATGATGAGACCCAAATAATGAACCTTAAACTATAACCTAAAATAAATAAATGCATTTACTCTGGCGGTGTCTTCTTTTAACTCAACCTGAATGTGTACCCTCCTCCATCCCCTCCATTAAAAGATTAAGTATGTGAGTTTGCATGTGTTTTTACATGACCACAGTATGGTCTTTGTTTTGATGACAGCAGCAGCATGTTACCGCTCACCTTCCAGCCAGCAGAGCTGTTGCTGTCGCCTTTGTCCTTGAAATATGGCACAGACCTCACCATCCAGTCATAGATTTGGGACAAGGTCAGCCTCTTCTCGGGGGAGCTCTCGATGGCTTGGGTAATGAGGTCTGCATAGGAGTAATTGCCCCAGGCGTTCCTGCGGGCGGAGGACTTCCTCAGCTGCTGGGAGGCAGAGCCACCCAGAGCCGCTGTGGGGATCTGTGCCGAGGAAGGCGAACCGTCGGCGGCCTCCTCCAGGCTGGGACCCCGCTGGACCTCCACGGGCTGGGAGATGGAGCTGCTGCTCGCCTCCCGGGGTGCAAAACCACTACCACCGCTGGATTTTTGCGCGTCCCCGCTCTCAGTGCTGCCCCCCTCATCATCCTCTTCTTCAGGGATTACGTCAGTGTCATTTGTCCCGGGTTTGCCCGCACCAGACTCCGGACGGGGCAGCGGCCAAGTGCAGGACCGCGGCCGCTTCTGAGGCTCGAAATCCGGATCTATCTCAACGTTTAAGGGGGGCTCGTTGCCATCGAGTGGAGCCTCAGCCATGTTCCTCGCAATATCTCGGTCGCTGCACAAAGGGTTATAAAATCACTCAGGTCGCATTCCATCAATGTTGTGTGCAGGCTACAGAGGCAGTTTATTTACTATGCACAGTATGCAAATGCCCAGCCTGCAGCCCAGTCCCAGCACGTGTCCGTTCTTCTATCCTCCAGCAAGGCGTCTATCCGCAGCACACAGATCCGATCGGGGCTGACCAGCGTTAACAAAACATTGCCTTTTCTCCTGCACAGCCCACACCCTGGTCAACATGCATTGCAATTTCGCGAAATGTGGAGTTAAATGGAGGAAGAGCCAGTCTTCTTAGAGGAATCCAAACGGCGTTCCTTCACAAGCGCCCGCGTCCTGCACCGCGATCCTGCGTCGTGCATGCCAAAGAACATGTAAATTACTACACCATAATGTCACCACATCAGCTTTATCTCTCCGCACACAGCTGCCATCTTGACCATTTCCTTTCCCAAGTTTTTTTTTTTTATCATCCGTGCAGAGAGCTGCCAGTCGCCTGCTGTCCAGATACCATCCAAGGCGGAGATTGCTTTCTCAAGGCCCTGCAGCTCGTCCTTTTCTTCTGTAAAAAAAAAAAAAACCACGGAGCTACGCGAGACTCAAATACCCGTCCTAGAATGAAAAAAGCACCGATGCATTCTCGCGGAACATCTCTGGCATTTAACAGGCCAGCACGGTGTCCTCCGTGAGGCCAGCTGCCTGCAAACACACTTCATTCAATCTGCTGCTGCTGCTGTGCTTCGCGCAAACGCTGCGAGTCCAAGAAGAGGAAAAAAAAAATCCACACGATCCTGCCCCCTGGACTGCACTGAAATTAAAGTGACAGTGTGGGGATGTCTGCAGGCCGGTGACATCACCGTGTTCACAGAACAGTCTCTTGCACTACAAAATACTACTACGACTGTAATGTGATTTATTGATAAAGGAGAATCAGTAGCATTTATATGCATTTTGTGCACTTTGACTGTAAGTTGTCGTAAGAGGAAATTTGCGGCCATAAAACATAACCAGTATTTAGGACGTATCAAGAACATGTTTTTTTCAATTGTTAAAATAGCCTTTTTCCAGCCTGTTTTAACCAAAGTAATTGATCCTATATAATAAGTCGTTATACTTACCGCTCTAAAATAAAATAATCAGAAAATACTTTAATTTATATCTTGCTTATTTGGCAATTTCTTGCTTCACTGATATTGTGTAATATATATATATATATATATATATATATACCTGTCTCTTAGACCTAATTCCAACAACATGTCCCCTTTCTTTTACATGACATCCTAATTTCTTAACACAGAGGACTTATCTCTTTACTCTTCCTGTTAGATCTAAGTGTGGCATTTGACACAACTGAGCATCACATCCTGCTACGGACACTGGAACACTTAATTGGATTCCTTAATTAAAGGAATCGCATTAACTTAGTTTAAATCCTATTTATCAGATCAATTGTACACATTAATGATTAGCCCTCTATGCAATGCCAAAGTTATTCGTGGAGTTCCACAAGGCTCGGTGCTTGAACCTTTTCCATTCATCTTATATATGCATCCTCTCAAGGAAATATTAAAAAGTTAGACACAGTCAAATGTATTATTGTTGTTATGCAGATGATGGGGTGGCTGTGGCTCAGTTTGTGGAGTCAACGCCTTTCAACCGAAAGGTTGAGGGTTCGATCCCCAGCTGAGCAACATGTCCGACGTGTCCTAGGGCAAGACACTTAACCCTGCATTGCTCCTGCTGCTTCAGTGGCTGTGTATGAATGGATTAGTGTTGTACTTACTCTTTGATGTACGTCGCTTTGGATAAAAGTGTCTGCTAAGTGAATTGTAACATTGTAAAATTATACTCAGTTATACGTATAAATAAACCAATAGGAAACCAACAAGTTAACTGTAATATGGGACGACAGTAGCTCAGTTTTGGGCAGCAGTAGTGCAGTCTGTAGGGACTTGGGTTGGGGAACAGAGGGTCGCCGATTCATGTCCCAGCACGGAACTAGTCTGGAGTTGCAAGATTGCTTCCTGAGCACTGCCTAAGAGCCCTTGAGCAAAGCACCTCTGCACTAGCTCCCTAGAAGTCTAGAATAAACTATAAAATCCTTACTTTGACCTACAAACCGCTTAAAGGCCACTCTCATATCTTAAATAGTTCAAAGTTCCCTATTACCCCTCTGTAATATTGCACTCCTAGAATGCTGGCTTACAAGTGGTACTGTAAGTCTCAAAAAGTAGTAAGGGAGATAGAGGCTGCAATTATGAGTTCCTTTTCCTCAGGAATCATTGGGTCTCTATGTAATATGAAGGGACCTTAATGTCTTCCGTGGTAACAACGAAAACTCAACATGGTACTGAATATTGAAGTTTAATGAATAGCTTAAGTTTACTGTTTAAAAAAACAGTAAATGAATGTGTCAAAAAAGTCAATTGCTGACTCCCATCAAAGTCTGTACACTTCATTTTCTGACTTACATTTTTTTTGTAGCTACAAATAGAAACAGTTCCCAACCTTAGTATGATCTGATACAGAATTTTCATTCTGCAGTTAAACACAAGAAATGAAGGGTTTAAAAGGCTGATTCTCATGATTTGTTGTTGTTGTTTTTGGGACTAAACATTTTCATGTTCAGTCGTTTCTTAAATAAAGAATGAACGCATTTAATACTAATTCATACAGACAAAAAAACAAAAACGTTTGGAAAATGTACATAACCACAAACCTTTTTTGGTGGCTCTTACATTTATTCAGGGGTTGGAATTGGAATTGAGGATTTGTATTTGACTTTGGTATTTGTAAAATCTTGGCCACCACATCGGCTTCAACAAATAAAGAAGCTTTTCCAAGGATTTCCTGAAGTGTGAAGAGATTTACAGGAAATGTGAATGAAACACTGACTGATAACATAATTACAATAATACTAAATGTTTTGTTGTAAAATAAATCAGCTGACTGCTAATGTTTTAACGTTTACTGTCAAAAATAAAGATTTCTACTGGACCTTCTGCCAAATAAAACCCAAAAATGAACTAAACAAAACACCTACAGCTGTCCTTTTATACCAATAAAACTCTTTTTACATGTACAGCTGATTAAAGTTTTTTTTAGCACTTGTAATTCCCCGGTGCCTCCTTTGATTTTGAAGGCAAGAGTGTAAAGCTTAGTAATTAAATAAAGAATATATCAATCAAATATATCGTTCTGTGCATTTTTTTGCATGCTCTTGATGCACATTGCTTGTAGTGTGAGTTTGATACCCTGCCTTGTTGTTTTTTTTTTTAGAAGGACTTTGAAAATGAGGTATAAATGCAGCGGCGTGTGGCAGTTTACCCAAAACAAACAGTACTTGTCCCATACAAATAGCCATTCATTAAAAGAAAAAGGACAATTTTGACCTCAGAAAAAAAAATATCTTCATGAATGTAGACAGACTCATAAGATTATAGCACCACCTGGAAGCCCTGTGATACATTTGTTTGCCCTTTTCCATCCAACAGATAAAAAAGTAACAAATGCAGTATTGTCCAGTTCGCAGCATCCATCAGGAATGGAAAAAAAAAACTGCTTTCACTTTGTGAACCACTGTTGCACCATTGTATTGAAGCATGTATGAGAATCATGAATAACTCGTTGAGATATGTTTTTTACATTTGATAAAACAGTACGTAGCTCAAAGATTAACATGTAAAATCTTCAAAACAAGTCCTTAAGGAATCCATTTCTTCAAGTTGTGCATCTCTTCTGCACAGATTTAAACAGGCAAATATAGTTGGACCACTATATGATTAAAAGCAATATGACACTTAAAAATTATCCATAAAGTGCAATGTCACAATAAAGTCATAAAAGGCGTTAAGATTTCAATAAATATTCTCTGTACAGTTTCTGCACACGTACTGTGAAGGAGTTCCATAATGGGAGTATTGTTCAGTCTGTGTGAGTTTGGCAGAGCAGAGAACAGTTTATGGAGGTTGTGTTAAATGGTGGAGTTTTCTGAATGTTACGCCTGTGGTTTGGTGCTTCTGTCTCCTTCGAGCCAGTACTCCTCAGTCTGCATCTCTGTGAGTCGAGACACTGTCCTCTGGAAGGCAAATCGTTCCTCTTCTCCGCTGAATATCGACAGACCGCTGGCGTCTTCCTGTTGACCCACCAGGTATTAGAATTTTTTTTAATTCACACCTTTAATAAAACTACTCTTTATGTGTATAGCTGTTTTCACACATGCACAAAACTCTGAACATTTCTCTGGAAGTTTTTGGGTGAGCTGCATGTGTGACCCCAAACAGCCTAGCTTTTCATCCCCAGACTTTACCGGGAATTTTACCTAAAAAAATGTCTGCATTAAATTGGGGAGAGACAATGTGTGAACGCAGTAGGTGATATTCAGGACAATTAGCCCTGAGCGAGTGGGCGTGGCTGATGACATTTGTTCCATGCGACCAGTGCAATCTTCGTCCCCTTCTTGCTCACCAGTGTTCTTTACCACTCAGATTCCAGACAGATTCTGTCGGTATGTCTGCCATTTCGGATTTCTGCAGCGTTGATTTTACATTTTTACGTACCATAATTTGACTTAATTCTTAAAGTTCTTGAAAATATATTCAGAGATATAGATTTGTTTATTATACATTATAAAACAATTCAAAAATTAATGTTCACAGTGTGCTGGTTTAAGTCAGTCGGTAGAGTAGTCACCCATCATGCAGAGGCTACTGTCCTCGACACATCGGCAACAGGTTCGACTCCCGGCCCTGACCCTATGACGCATGTCTACCCCTCTCTGTCCTCCCAACATTTTTTGTCTTCCGCTGATTGATCCTATCAATAAAGGCTAAAAAAAAAGAGTCTTCAAATTCTGAAAACTTGGAGTAATGTTTCAACTATGTAACAAGAAGCTTTAAATAAGATATCAACTCTGAAAAAATGATTTTCAACTGAAAAACAGCTAAATCGTTTGTGACAAAATATCATACTGTAGTTTGTCAAGAAAACAACAATGTTCTGGTTAGAATGGATCATGGTGAGATGATTTTTCAGAGAACATAAAGACTGGCTCTCTTTGTGCTTTGTGTTAAAAGCGCCACTCAACAACAGCTCTTGCCAGCTTTCTAATCTACATTTACGAGGGAATGACACACCCAAACATGAAAAACTGGTTTAACTGTGAAAACGGAGTCTGCGCTCTCACCCTTTTCAGCCCCAGATCGTCCATCAGGATGTGGCTCTCGTCATGACTATGATCCCCGTCGTGTACAAAAATATCCTCCAGTGGATGGTCTGCAAGAATCACCACCCGCACCTGAGACATCGTAAAACATTTATGTTTGGTATTACAGTGTTAATGTGTAGTAGATATGTAGAGGATCAGTAGTGTACCTTGTGGTCGTAGAGAGCATCCACGAGCGTTATGAGCCGCCTGGCCTGAGTTTTCTTGTTCAGGGTGAGTAGAGGAATGTGTCGGATAAAGATGGTGTCAAACAGCCGGGACATCTCCAGGTAATCACTGGCCCCTAAAGGCTGGAACATTAACATCATCACAGCATTATATAACCCTATATGCACGTTTCAAGTAGTGTTGTAATATTCGAAATCGGTCTTGGTCTCGAGACCACTTTTTGAAGGTCTCGTCTCGGTTGCAGACTGGGCAGACTCTGGATTATAAAGCAAGTCCAGTCAAGACCACCACTGATAGGCTATTTTGTGTCATCACTGTGATTAGAAGGAAAATGGCCATTTCTAAAAGAATAAATATCTTCAATTCATGCATAATGTTTTTTATCCCCGGTTAGGGCCGCAACCTTCCCGGTGTCACAGTTTTTAAGTGACATGCAACCTGCACACTGGATGATCAGTGATATTTATGGTCTCTGTCTCGTCTTGGTCTCTGAGCATTCTGGTCTCGTGTATGACTTGGACTTGGTTAGTGTGGTCTTGGCTACAACATAAGTTTCCAGCCCAAACACATTTTCTGTGTTTAAAGTCCATCCAACAGCCCAAAAAACACTAAAACTCATCATTATTTCCAAAGATAATGAAGAAAAAATGAAAGCAAATCTTACATTTTAGATGCTGGGACTAAATGTGTTCAAATGTAACAATCGATGGATAGATAAACTTTACAACTGTCCCAACAGTGACAGAAATTCTTAATAGTTTCTAAATTCAGTTCCCATTTAATTTTCTTTCAATTGTGAGCATAAAAACAGTGCTAACTAACAAGAAGAGGCAAAGCAAAAATAGGACAGACTTTTGTTTTTATAAATCCATTAAAAGGTCAAATAATCTTATAATCTTATAATATATTGATGCACATAAAGAGTTTTGTACATATTGCTAAATATTTACATTCATTTGAGAGACTTACTCTATCACACAGCTCCTCAAACGTACAGTCTGCAATGGTCCCACAGGCTTTGTTCAGACGCACTTTCCTGTTGTTAACATTCAGGACTCTTGGTCGTGTTACTGTGAAGATAATCAGAGGCATGTTTCAGAAAGCAAGTTTAGTGCAAACCCTGATTCTGTTAACCCTGAAATGAAGAAAACTCCAGTTTCAGTTTCAGAAAGTCAGGTCACGCAAGCCCGTTCCAGAAAGAGAGGTCAATTAAGCTCTGAGTTAGTTTCTATGAAACTTAAACTTACATGCTGACTCGAGCAGCAATTTTCTACCACACCACGTCTTTCTCCTCTGCCTCAGCAGCAGAGTAACTTTTTATTCTGTAAAGTTTGTTCATACTCGTCGTGTGTCCGTATGAGGATGTAAAAGAACCTCTTTTTGTCACCTGTTGCCATGGTGAACTGTAGTATCAAGGCTCCATTAAAGTTGGCTTTTTAAAGTGCTGAACTCCAAGTGAACCTACTCAGAGTTGAGAGCGAACAAACTTAAATCAGCTGCTCTGGAAGTGGAAACTCAAGAGTTTCCCACCTAAAACTCAGAGCTCAGGGTTCGACAGAGAGTAACCCTCTTTCTGAAACGGGCCCCAGGACAACAAATACACCAAATTATAAGAAAGGCAACACAGATAAATCAGCTGATCAGCCAAAGAGCTCACTTACTATCATTTTGCTTGAAGGCGAGCTCATCGAACATCTTGTCAAGTGTCGCTTCTACATCTGGCTCCCTGGAGCTGCAAGAAATGTAACATTAAAAACAAACAAAACAAAAAAAAAAGTCTTACAATTTGTCATGCAATGACTGCTGTTTTCACTCGAACGCTTTCTTACAGAAAGTAGAGTTTTCCAGCAGACGGTCTGTTCCTTTTGCGGTAATCTATCCCAGAGTCGAGGCGGAGAGTTTGGCAATATTTCTGCATGTAAAAGATCACATTCATTAACAACAGGTGTGACCAAAAAAAAAAGACTTGAATCTAATTTTCTCTTAATAAACATATCTCCTTTCTTACCTGCAGCACAGCAATAAAAGGGACAAAGTTCACCCTCTGCAGCCCATTTTTATACAAATCTGAGGGAAAGAAGAGTGGGCAAAGAACTGTTTGAATATATTTATTATTATTATTATTATTATAATAATAATAATAATAATAATAATAATAATAATAATAACTTAGATGTATATAGCGCCTTTCATGAAACCCAAGGACGCTTAAATTAAATATCTTAAAAATTTAAATGACAGATTGAAATGCTCATTACACTAAAAACAGACAAACTCTGATACTGATAAGTTACATAGACATATTCATTTAAAAAAAAAATTCCTTTCAATTCTTAATTTGTAGACTTTAAAAATAAATCCTACGTTGATATGATCAGTTGTTGAAAAAAGTCCAAACACACTGAGGGTCAGCTGTGACAAAGAGACACAAAAACATGTTGAAGATGTGTAGCAACATTTGTTCCTCACCCACAGGCGGACGATTCGAAGTAGCCACAACAACAACACCTTTCAGAAACAGATTCTCAAAAAGCTGCTTCAGAATCATGGCATCAGCGATATCAGTGACCTGTAATGTGTAGAAAAAACTCATTTACCATTGATAAAGCTTTAGATCAATAATGTAAACGTCTGTTTACACATCGGTTCATTTAAACATTACGGATTACCTGAAACTCATCAAAACACAGCAGACACGCCTCTTCACTAATCTCATTGGCAACAGGAGCGATGGGGTCGTAGGATTTGGCCATTTTTCCTGCTTTCCTCTTTGGCATACTTTGTTTCAGCCGATGGATCCCTGAAGACCAACGAAACAGTGGAAATGATTCCCAATGTCGGAGAGGTTCAAGTTAGTACACATGAATACCAGTTACATGAGTTTAGAACAATAAACAAGCATGGTCACTAAATGTAGCATCACTGCTCCTCAGTTTGGAGTTTAACTGTAAAGAAATCTATGTGATGGTTTAGTTAGCGGGCTTGTGAAATGATTCCTTTTCAATTGAATAGAAACAAACAGTGACCATTAGCGACCTAATGTTCATTTTCGGTCTTCAATCTACAGTTTTATATTTACCTTTATGAAAAGATGATAATCAAGAGTAGGTAAATAAAGTCTTAAGTTTCAGAAGTCCATGCAGCATGCAGACATAACAACAGTTTTTACGGAGCCTTTTTTCATCAGATTAAACACCAATGAAGTCGGTTTACGGTGTTGTTTCTCTGTTTTTCAGCAGGATTACCACAGGGGAGACCATCAAGACCACACTAACCCAGACCAAGACATCCCCGAGACCAGAGTGCTCCAAGACCGAGACATTTAGGATAAAGACCAAGTTATGACCAAGACCAAGACCAAGGAAGGGCCAGACTGAGACAAGACCAAGACCATAAATGTCACTGAAAAACCATCCATTTGTGTGCAGGGGGGCATGTCACTCACTGAGACCGTGACACCAGGAAGGTTTGTACTTTTAAAAAGAGGCGTTTTCATTCGAATCCCAGTACTGATGTGGAAAAACTGATTGTGAGAGTCCGCCCAGTCCGAGACAAAACCGAGTGAAAATGCTTTTAAATCCGAGTCTAGACCAAGACCTTCAGAAAGTTGATCTCGAGATGACCGATTTCGAGTACGACAACACTACCACAGGATAGAGACAGAAAATCTGATGTTACATTTAATACTTTTCAAGACCCTGTTCATTCATTTTAAGACCCCATTGCATTTTAAATGTCTAATTAAAGAGAGACACAGTTTTATGTTTATTACTGATGGTAAGATAACACAACTGAACAGTTGGTTTTAAATAAAATCAAAAACAGAAAAACTTAAGCCTACAACTTTTGATGAATATAAAAACTGAGATCAGGCTATAATATTTAATGCCTTCTTATTTTGCATTTAAGACTTTTTTAAAGGTTTTATTTTTGGCTCTCTTGCTTGTAACAGGTACTGTAGATCTTCATGAAACTTGGGCCATTTTTACAAATGCACCTCTAAAAAATGTCTGACATTTTCTGCAAAGGTCTGTGCTCTCAGAATCTTCCTCTTATACAATCATTCATGTTCATTATTTTTTACCTTCACTCAGAGCTAGGTGATCTTAACAAACAAAGATCAAAACTGATGACGATGCTTGACCGTGAGCGGTGTGTGAATCCTACAAACATCAAAGTGCACTCACTTTTATGAACGTCCAGCATGAAGCCGTGGAAATGAACCCTCTTCTTCTTTTCAGTCTCCACATACGAGTAAAACATGTCCATCACCATAGTTTTCCCCGTGCCTGAAACAAGAAACAACACGAGAGGTAAGGGAAACACGTGTCAAAGAAATGTCATTCATATTTGAATCACTGCAAACAGACTTTCTTACCAACATCTCCGTAGATGTAGTAACCGATCGGTGGCTTCGGTTTTGTGAAAAACTGAAAGACATACATGCCGTGGTGTTAGAAAATGACTCCACATAAAAGAATACAACACATAATTATCAGGATAAAAAGTACAAACCTTTTTGTATGACTTTACTTTCATCCTGCTGATTACTGAGTGAACCACAAGAATAAATTATTCATAAGAGTTCACTTCTCCTTCAAACATGACTAGTTAGTTAAAGCCATCAGAAGAACAAGAAAACACTAAATATAGACTTCAGTTCATGTGCATTTCCTGTTTGTATTTTGTGTGTAAAGCACAACTTTAAATCAGGAGAGATGGCAAACGTAAACTCAGTTAATACTTCCATGTGCTCAAAGATTTGTTCACCTAAAAATGCAAAAATTCCAAACAGAAACAGAAAGAAGTTTTGGTAAAGCACTGTGAGATTTGATAAAATGTTTAACTACCCGAGCCGCAAGGATTAAACTGAGACAGGATTATACATAACAAGGTATATTTATCAAACAAAAAAAAGCAACAAGTGAAAAAAATAAACCTCATGGCACGACTCTGAAGGCTTGTTTTTTTTCTTCCAAATTTAGAGGAAGTTAATACAGATATCTAAATTAAAAAGTAATATAAAGAGTCTCGGGTTGGTATCTGACCCCTGCATTCAGACTCTACAGGTCTTTATACCTTTACTGAAAGATGAACAGCGTTACTCAGCAGCGTTCTGTAACTTCAGTTTAATTTTGATGATGAAACATCTGCCTAACATATTGGCCAAATTACTTTCCCAACAAAGGATCTCTCTCTCTCTCTCTCTCTCTCTCTCTCCTCTCTCTCTTCTCTCTCGCTTCTCTCTCTCTCCCTCTCCTCTCTCTCTCTCTCTCTCCCCCCCTCTCTCTCTCTCTCCTCTCTGTCTCTCTCTCCTCTCTCTCTCCTCTCTCTCTCCTCTGTCTCTCTCTCCTCTCTCTCTCCTCTCTCTCTCTCCCCCCCTCTCTCTCTCTCTCACACACACACTCTCTCTCTCTCTCTCACACACACACTCTCTCTCTCTCTCTCCCCTCCCTCTCTCACACACACACTCTCTCTCTCTCTCTCTCTCCCCTCTCTCTCTCTCTTTCTCTCAGTCACACTCTCTCTCTCTCTCTCTCTCTCCCTCTCTCTCTCTCTCTCTCTCTCTACCTTGGAGAAGAGGGATGTCGGTGTGTTGCTGTATCCTCTGAGTGTTTTGTGGAGCTGGTCCAGAGTCTGCATCACAGCTTTCTGATGTTCATCCTCCTTCAGTGTCCCGTCTCTGATCAGCCCGCTGTAGTGATCCAGAGGCCCGCTGAACCCTGCGGGGCTGAACCCGCTCTCCTCTGCCTCCTGCTGGGCTTTCCCCGAGTAGCCTTAAACATGACAACAACACAGAAAGCAAAGCCCCTTTAGCTCGCATTTGCACTCACTAAAACCTTATGTTAACAAAACAGACAGCAGAGCCCCTTCAGCTGGTATGAGTACCCTCTAAGACCTTCACGAAAAGTGTCTGTATGGATAAAGCTGTGGACCAAAGGTGACAGCAGGGCGTCTGACAGCTGACAGAGCAGAGTAAAAACTGTGAAAATAACAAGGTAAGCCTGACACCTAAAGCAGCTTCAGGTAGCCTTGTAACAGTATATATACTGTAGTGAATTATTCGTTTAAAGTGGAGCTACATTTCGACTTTTCATCAGCTTTTTCGTCGCTTTCTCGGACAAACCCATTTACTGACGACGTCTACGTCAACACAACGCGCAAAGAAACGCCTCACCTCGTCTGCACATCTCTGTCACAGATACAAACAGGTTGGTGGAGGAATATTTCGCTTTAAAAAAAAGCCTACACCCCAGAGAAGTTGAGGGTGACATCGTTACAGACAGCGGTATGCGCACCGCCATCTTGTTTTCAAATATCGTCAGCAAAACTTTATTAGTAAAATCACAACAAACAGAAGTGCGTCGTCTTTTGGCCAGCAGGGGGCGGAGTTTCATCAAGTTCAATAACCTGGATTTCATTAAAAAAAAAAAAAAAAAACAATATTAAGAATATTTATTGCACACAAACCGAAACTATACCATGATTATACTTTACAAGCAGTTTGGTGAGATTTAACGTGCTTTACACAGGACATGTGCTATTAATAATAACATTAAAAACCTAATATAGAATAAACTAGAAGTATCTATTTGAAGAGTAACGTAAAGTAAATGATAAACCCAAGTTATCATTTAATACAACATATATTAATTAGCCTTCAGACAATAAATATAATACACAGGCCTAATGTATGCAGTATAATAAGGACAGGATAATAATTAATAGAATAGTAATTAATAATGCAAGACTTAATTCAATAAAGGGTGGACACCAACACAAAGGTTTTCAAAGTTATTTTAATGGGATTCATCTGAGTTGCAGAAATAAGGGCTTTTATATTTTATTTTTAAGTAGAGCTGATAAGACCTTCATTTTTAGATCACAGAAAAATCTGATATTCTGGATCCTGAATCTTTTTTTTTTTTTTATCAAATTTGTATTTAATTTTAAAATATTAACACACAAATTAAAAAATAAATCAATTGAAAACTACAAAATATAAAACATGCATATATAAAAGTAACAGAAAACAACCCCTGGAGAGAAAAAAGTGTTGACACTGGTTTACTGAATCTTGAATGTGATAATTTTCTGCTTTTCTGGTTTTTGTATGATCGTTAACATGACATTTACTGAACAGGCAAAAATGAGGTAACAGTAAAATAGAGTGAAACAGAGCAATTGGAATGATTACTTGGATTACATTTAGGAGCTGCAACCAAATTATTTTTGTTTTTTATAGAAAAGGGATTTATTTTAGTGAAACTAGATGAATTTTCTTGTATCTCTAACAATGCTACTACTGTTAAATCCAAAATGTGCAAGTCAAATGTTCTTCTTCACTCATATCTTTACTCCATATTCAAACATATTCAAGCACAAACATATTCATGTTTTATTGATTGTTTGTGCTCCTTTACACTGAGTATAATGTTTTAAGTACTTAGTGACAATCTTTTTTTTGTACTGGCCTATTGTTTTTTTTTTTATTATTATTTATTTTTTCTTACTCATTTAATTCCCTTGCATGCTTTGGAAGGGAACTGTGACGTCAGATACTTGCAGACTAAATTATAAATCCTGAAATGTGAAAATTTACTAGATAAATTCCCCGATTATTTTTTGTTTAATTGCATAATTGATGAATGAAAGCAGAAAGTCCTCACATTTGGGAAGCTTTAAACAGCAAATGTTTGGGATTTTAGCTGTAAAAATGACAGTAATAATCATTCAATTATTAAAATAATTGTTTTATTTTATAATTCTGGACAATTCAGGATAACCTACGAATAATTCCTTAAATAATGCGCATGATATTTAAAACACACAAAAGTACGACCCCGATAGAGTTCAGAAACAGAAAAGAATAACATCCATACATGCGTCACTTTCTAATGAATATTCTCATTATAATTTCAAGGCAGAATCTCAGTCTAATAATACTTCCACAGCACTGAGCAGACCAAACATCCCGGCAGACAACCGGCAGGGTGTTACAGGGCTTACAGGCTTGTTGCCATGACAACAGTGCAGCCTCCTCCCCCCCACCACTACCCTTGCTCTTTTCCTCTCGCTCTTCTGTCTCTTTAATGCACACACACATGCACACACACACTGTCACTCTCTGTCTGTCTGTCTCTGGTGTACTCACACACACACACACACACACACACACACACACACACACACATATACAGTATTACAGTGGAATCCACTGTGCCGTGCTCTGCTGCTGGGAGCAGGAGAATATAGGAAACACAGTAGAGCGTAGGGAGACTCCACATCTGTTTGGATGGTGAGTGCCGGCTGAATGTAAATTGTTTGTTTACATATGGCATCCTTTGACAAATCTGCCTAAAATAAGATTCATTTCAGAGGTATAATTATGTTTCTTCACTCTGTGTAGCATGCTAGATGTGGCTCATGCTTGCCTTTTTTTTTTGCAATGCATCTTCTTCCTTTTTTTGGTTAAAGATTAGGATGGAAGCTGTCATCGTAATGGTAATTCATAGCTGTGTAGCCATGGTGAAGTCAATTTCCCCCCTTCCCTCCCCTCTGCTGCTGCTGCTGCTGAATGCATTAGTCTAATGAGATGTCTGCAGCCTGTGTGCCGAACAGCAGCAGCAGCGGCGGCGGCAGCAGCAGTGTGTTAACCAAAAGGGGACAAAGCCTCAAACAGCAAGAGCAGGATGGCTATCCCTGCAATGTTGGGGATTTAGCTTTATAGTCACCTTTAGGCTCCTAGCATTTAAGACAAAAGGGGCTCAGCTCTTGGGCTTTCACAATAGAAGACAGCAGGTAACAGACCTCCCCCCTCCTCCTCTCTCAGGTTTATTGGTTTGTTATCAGTGCAGGATGGAGGTGCTGTTTTCTCCTCAGCTTATGCATGGCTGCCTTTTGTGTTGTGTGATTATTACTGTCCTCGGTTAATGCTGCTTTTCTGAGCCGCATTGCTCAGCTGAGTATTCTGCAGTCTGTCAATGTTTGCATGTTCCTGTTGTAGACCTCTACCAGAGCTGCTCTGAATCGATGCTAACGCTGCTCTCTAATATGTGACGAGGACGGATTGATTGATGTGCAAGAATAAAGTGCATGTCTCTTTGGGTTTCCGCAGCTTGAGCTTGAGTTCTCTCCTTTGTCTGCAGCTCCAAATGAGTTTACCTGCAGTGACAGCACAGAAATCAGACGGCAACAACAACAACAGTGAGATGCAATCAGCTGCAGTGGCTCCCTCCTTCATCCCCAGCCAGGCGGGGAAGATACCGGGCAGGAAGAGAGGGAGACCCCCGCTCCGCAATGTCGCCAAGATGGATTTTCCAAACCGCTACCCTGAGTCCCTCCCTCCGCTCAAAGTGCCAAAGAAGAGGGGGAGAAAGCCAGGCTTCAAGGTCAGCCACATGGAGGGGGAAACATGGGGATGAGATGTTATGTACGTGTGTGTGTGTGTGTGTGTGTTTGTGTGGGTGGATGCAGTGTGTTTAAAAATGCATGTGTACACAGAAAGGCACAGACACACAGGCTCCATGCCCTTCAGGGTTTGTGGGACCCCAGTGTACCAGAAAGAGGCTAAACATATGTGTGCTGTAAACATAAAGCACACACTGCTATGTCAGAAGAGAAAATATGTCTGTTTTTGTTCATATATACAAACACAATTCATCATCTGCTTCAAAACAACCACAGTTTACACATTTTTGCCACCCCGATTATTCTCTAATCCCTAATCCCTTCATGATTTAGCAAAAGAAAAATGAATACAACTTATTTCACTGCAGCTCAAACCAAGGATGGTGATGACACCATTGGCTATATCTCCACCCAGCAGCACCCCTGAGCCCGATATGAGCTCCATTCCTCAGGATGCAGCCACCATCCCCCACTCTGCCACGCCCCAGGTGCTCACAGGTAGGCCATAAAACTCTCTTAATGCCATAAAAAAACAAGTATTTATTGTGTTTGCTCTTTACAATCAAGTTCCAGTGATGTAAAAAGATGTGTATGGTTCATAATGATGATCAATTTCTCTTTCCCCCCCAAAAAAATCATCTCCATCTGTTTTCCCTCCATCAGTCTGTATCTACATCAACAAGCAGGCCAACACAGGCCCCAACCTGGACAGGAAGAAGATCCAGCAGCTTCCCGATCACTTCGGACCCGATCGACCCTCTGTGGTTCTCCAGCAGGCCGTCCAAGGCTGCATCGACAGCGCCTTCCAGCAGAAAACAGTCTTCACCCTCCTCACGCAAGGCTACGGGGGAGAAAAAATATCAGGTGTTGTACAAAGACCTCCCTCAGGTGTTGTTTACTATTTGCTCAACAGCTTCTTTTTTCTTATTTCTGTATGGTGCTCCTGAGTTGAAAAAAAAAAGTGCATTTGTAAACATCTAATTTGCAAGAAATTGCAGCTAACCTGTCATGTTGTTTCTTCTTTTGCTCTTCCAGCCACATTTGATGGGAAGCAGCACCTTCTCAGCCTCCCTGTGGTGAACAGCATCGACTATGTGCTCCGCTTTCTGAAGAAACTCTGTCGCAGCTTGCACTGTGAAAACCTCTTCAGTGATCAGCCCATTACCCAGCACAGTGGTGGCTCCTACCAGTCAGATGGTACTTCTAAATTCTGTCTAATAAAAGTTACCATCCAGATACCGTCCATCTCTTAAAGCTAATTTTGTCTCTGATCTTGTCTTTAGCTGAAACAGAAGACTACCAATTAGATCAGTCGGACGGTAAACGCTACTCTGTGGATCCCGGCGATTCTGCTTTCAGCTCAATCGGCTCGTCGTACTCACCAAAGTCCTCCTACGGGTTTCGTTCCCAGCAGCAGTTCTCCAATGGCTCGGCCTCCATGAGCATGTGCCGGCAGTCATCCAACAGCCCAAACACATTTCCAGAAAGCAACCGGACAGGTGAGAAGGCAAAACTGAGAATGCTTCAATCTTAATTCATTGCTTTACAAAGATAACTCTTTCGTTGGTTCTTTCAGGAGGTTATAATGCATCTTCAGAGCTCCAGGAGTCCAAAGCTCCACCCAATAAAGACCCCTCCACCTGGTCTGTGGAAGACGTTGTCTGGTTCATCAGGGATGCAGACCCCCATGCTCTCGGCCCCCATGCAGACATCTTTAGGAAACATGTACGTTTTCTGTTCCAGGCTTCCTTGTTCCTCCGCTGATTCCCTGTGCAGAATGAGCGTCCAGTTGAACTCAACTTGTCATCTTCTTCTTCTGCTTCTTTCAGGAGATCGATGGAAACGCCTTGTTACTCCTGAAGAGCGACATGATCATGAAGTACCTTGGACTGAAACTTGGGCCGGCATTGAAGCTTTGCTACCACATTGACAAACTAAAGCAGACTAAGTTCTGAAAACTTAGGAAATATTTGTCCTCTTCAATCTAACGGTACTTTCCAAAAGGGTTTTATCTTGGACTCCATGTGTGTGAGCCAATGCAAAGAGACTAGAGTCTGTTAGCATGAGGTGCATATCTTTATGGTAAGAATCATCACTTTCTTTAAGCTGCAAAAGTATAAAAGAAAACAAAGAGTTTTACAGTTAATTTAACTAATTTATGTGTGAAATGCAAGGGTAACAGTTCAGTGTGAAATAACACATTTCTTAAGGTAAATTTGCATCATATTCTTTTACAGATAAACCTAAGTAAACCTCTTTATGTTAACCTGCAATCATTTTGGCCGCATGCCCAGAATTACATATTATAACACTGTTTTTTTATTTACACATGCAGCAGTTTAGTTGAAACATTATCATTCATTTGGAGTCTTTTTTGTGTCCTATTGATGAATGTAACTGCGATATTAACCCTCTCTAAGCTCCAAACTGCATTCAATCTTTTCCCATTGCCTCACAAACCTGGAGTCCGAAGTTCAACCCTCTTGGTACACTTTTCTGAAGATTTCTGTGATGTCATGAAGTGATAACAAAACTCTCTTTTTCTCTTCTCTTACATGCTCACTCTACTTTTTGGCACAGATTTTAAACAAAAGAAACATCAGATTGTAGACAGCATCCTACACATACATGTTAACATCATGTAATACGTAAAAGGCCAGTGTCAGAAGATTTTTTTGTCTCACAAACCTTTGTGAGCAGCACATACGTCTGCTACATGCAGATTTCCAATTATATACGTCATCATCTGACCAGAAATGTATAACAGAAAACACTTTATACCTTAAGAAACACTCACTTTGTCAATGCTCAGCATAAGATCTTGTTTACTCGTGTTTACCAAGCTGAAAACATATCTATACCTGTACTGAAATATGGTGCATAAACTACAGCATTGCTTTTTAATTAAAAGATTTAGAAATCATTTTGATACTATTTTTCACATTACTGTGTAACAAAAAAAAGTAATGTTCCCATTGGATTTTTCATTCTTTTTTATTATAATTTTAATATTTAAAAACAATATAACCTTAAGAAAACATAGTCTACATAGACAGGCAGTCGCTCTCTTCTTACGATATATAAAGCAAAAGAGAGTATTGTGAACGTTAACAATATACTAATGTTTCAATATGCAAGATTAATAAATTCCCATTATCTCCAGAGGCTCTTCATGTATATTCAAACAAACACGTCTTTTTAATTGATGTTTTTATGTTTTTATCAGTGTTAAAACAGAAATTCTCAAAACACAAAACACCTAAATGTTACATGAAGGAAACCCGAACCGTAATGTAAATGGGTATATAACATAAAACTGCTTTTGTATACCACTTTAGGTGTACAGTATGCATCCTTTTTTAATCAATTAACCTTTGTAAGTGAATGCTGCTGTTAAGATACATGTAAGCCATGCCTAGTGAGATCAAGCTACGGTGTTTTATTTTGAATATCACTATGAATAAGAGTTTTAGAGACAGCTGAGCCAATCAGTCCTCTATGCTGGTGCTAAAGTTATCTATGTATTCAACTGTTTGCCTTTGTGTTTGTGAAATGTAAAGGATATGTGTATACTGTACTGTATGTGAGCATTAAATTAAGAAATCAAGTAATCAGAGATATATCTGTGAGAGACTTTTTCTTTCTACTTTCTTTTGTGTCTATTGACTATATTTACACAGTGGTCATTGTCCCCTGAAGCTCCGTGTCCACCAAGTGGTCCGGTTCAGTTCAGTTTCATAATTGCGTCTCCTCTGTCAAAACTTGGAAATAATACCAAAATAACCGATGCCATCCTACTTTTTTGTCACGCTTCTGTTGGGATGCCCAGAGTACCATTCAGTCAATTGATTGGTTGAAATAATCCTTACTTCAGGTGCGACAGTGGTAATACAGGACAAACATAAAATAGCCATGTTTAAATGTCCTGTGGATTTCGAGAAAGTAATTTCTCACAAACAAAGCTTTTCTTCTTCTCATGATAAACAGCCACATGCCATGAAAATCACAAATTGCCCTTTGTTTACTGTGTCACGTTCTCCTTCATTGTCACGCTATTACGAAGCTGATGCGGCTGTCCTCATCCGGCTTACAACCTGCCTACCAAGTAAGGGTACGGTTGGCTGTGGAAACGCAAGCACCAGGGTTAACCATACCAAACCGAACGAGACTGTACTGAACCAAACCGGACTGCTTGGTCGAAACAGGGCTTTACATCACATTCAAATGCTCTAATGTTGCACAGCTATGTTTTAAGTTGTTAGTTGTATAAAGGGTATCTGAAAAGACACTCAATAAAGAAGTTCCTGAGAGATATCTGGCCATATTTATACAAAAAAAAACAACATATTTGATAAAACATTAGCTATCAATTGGCAACAGCTATGTTAGCATCTGTGCCTTCTTAGCTTATGTTACCACAAGCTGGGATGTGTCTGAATGCTAACAGTACCTTGTGAACGTCTCCTATAATAAGATAGGAAAGGCATAAACAGAAAAAAAAAGAACTTGGATAGTCAGGATGAGGTTACAGCCAATGTTAGCGTTTAACCTTCTCCTGGCTAACAATTACTGTTAGCTAGGAATTTACACCTTTCCTATCTTGTTGCCAGCCATAGACTGAATAAAAGATGGACGTTGTATCAGTAATGTCACTCATTGGTTTCTGAAGTAGCGATATGAGGCCAAAAGATAGCGGTCGCCATATTTGAAAAGCTATCTTAACCTTGATTTGGATCACTCAGAAACAGGCAAAGAGTTGGAGCCTCCTGGAAAACAGCTACAATAAATCCACCTCTCAGTCACCTGAACCACACTCCCAACTATGCAAATTTACAATATAATCTTAAACTTAATACAATCAGAATGGATTAGATACACCCCCCCCCCACCACCACCCCCTTTACAGTATGTGCCAATAAATAAATTAGCTATTGACACAACATTTTTTGTACCAACTTGTAAACACGTTTAATTCTGCTGTAAAAATGGACATTTTAACATGGGGGTTAAAGGAGCTTTGTGGGCTTTTTGAGTGGACACTCGAAGAATTGCAGTTTTTGCATTTCATTAACTTTTTCAATAAGGGACTGCTGCCGGCTGCTGACACATTTTAAAGGTACTGTGAGTATTCAGCCTCTTCCTGCCTAACCACATTATCAGCTATTAAATGGCAGAATACCAATCTTATACATGATCATAATTACCAGTAATGATTTACATGGCAAAGAATGAAATGTGGGCCCTATTCTCTAAAGATCTTTTGCTAAAAACCCTTCGAGGAGACGTGCTAGTCAATGAAAAGAAGAAGAAAATGTCCGCCAGGGGTTAAATGGAATAAAGAGGTACCTGCGAGGGTATTTCTGTTACAGTGTTAGCTTTAATTTTAAATGGCACTCTTATATAATGGTCAGTCTGACAGTAGCTAACAGAAAATTTGGTTTTTTGAACTGAAAACGTGATATCCCTCAAGAATTTCACAATCCAATTATTTCCAGTTACTGATTAATAGACAAGCAGAAAAAGTGATTCCCTTTGTTAATGAGACCTGCAGCGTACTTGTAAATATGACGCTTAAGCAAGAAACTGGTTAACTTAGCTTAGCATGAAAATAATGGGGCACAAGTAGCCAACTAGCAGTCTATGACAAACTTTATATGTTTGAAGGTGGCTAGGTGTTGAAACCTCAGTGGATGGTAAGAAATTGTACTTTTTTATGATGATCTACATAAAAGCTTTTATTTGTAACTACCAAACCAAAATGACAGTGGGTATAGAGACCCTCATACCTGCCCCTCCCTCTAGACCTCACTCCACCCCTCACATATTCATGACTGCACTGTCATTCCTCAAAACTCACCTTTTTGAAAATGGTTTTAATGGGTTGTTGTGCTGAGTCTTTGTATAAATATTTGTGATTATATGCAGAGGCGCGGCTTGTCAACTTTCAAGACATGCAGCTGCTTGGGGCCCAGGCCAGTAGGGTGACTCCAATGGCTGACAAAATGAAAATTTGCAAAGTTTGCAAAGTTTGCAATAACAGGGCATCCTCCCTAAGGAGGCCCCATCTGACAGCCCGGTACTCTTGTGCTGCTAGTGTTGCATGCATTATTGTTGTTGTGAAAACCTGTAAAAGCTTTGCCAATTACTCACTGAAGGAAAATGAAAGTTTTTCATTATCTTTATATTCCTTTGTGTTATTGTTTTTTTTAAATACAATCTGTTGGGGCCTATAGAATTGCCACTTAATAATGTTGTTTATAAGACCTGTGTGTATTGTTGCTATCTTTTATAGTTACAGGCTACAGTGCCTTTGAATAGCCTACACTAAAAAAAGTGCTTTCCAAATCAGATGTACTTTTTATATTTGTTACTATTAGTATAACTGTTTTTAAAAACTTCAAAACAAATCCAGTAAATGTACATTTCACAGGCAGGGGGAGGGGAGGTGGCAATGGGGCCCCCAGTACATCGTTATCTATCCTTGGTTTATAAATTAACGTCCATTCTTAGTAGAATCCAAATCCAGATTAATTAGGATATAATTAATAATAAGATCCAAGTTACAAAATCAATAGACTCATAGCCTATAGCTCACAAATCTAGAGCACAGCGTACACAGACCAGAATCCCAAATGTTTATTTTCTGCTGAATACATGTAAGGCTGATCATCACGACGAAGGATCCAGTCATAACGTGACAGGATCCAGCAGCAGCTGAACCCAGAGCGAGCAGCAGAGCATCAGTAAACTTATGATCAGGCTGTGATGCACACGGGTGACGCTGCGCTCCTGTAGTCGCATAACCAAAGACTGGCGTGGGATCGGTCCCTGCTGCGCCTCATCTGGAATAACGTCGGGAAAATCCAGTAATTTCATCAGCGGGTGTTTTTTAATTTTTTTATTTAAAGGAGACGAACAGTGTTGACAAAAATTCCCTTTTGGGCAAAACGTTTCCATCGGAAGGCGGTGTTCTACTCTGCAGAAGCCAGAGCAGATTTATTCCGATAGAGAATCACCAAATATAGGCAGTAAAAAGGTAAGAAGTGTTTGCCTGCACATGTCGGCTCCATGTCATGTTATGTGTCATTATTAGATAACAGACGTGGTTATGAACGTGTCATTCTTTTTTCACAATTTCTTTTCGTTTGAATGAATAGGATCGAGTAGAGGGGTTTTCACACGGGCACCTGCGCATCCCTTAAAATTAACCCCTGCGTCTTGCCCTGGAAAGTAGCAGAAAACAGAAGAATTACAGAAAGCAATGATTTAATGACTTAATAGAATGTCATCAAGAATGGCTTAATTAATTGGCTTTATGAGCTAGAAGAAAATGTGGCTCTGCTGTTGCACCGATTGGAGCTGCCTTGCGTTTTAAAATGAGGTCTGGTTGGTTATGAAATTCTTGGCTTTTTTTTTTTTTCGCCCCAAATGCGCATGCAAAGATGTCATTAGCAGCAGGATCTAATCTGAAAATACTCTCACTGCGTCGTTTCCATCGGAATGCAGCAGCGTCTCCCTCTCTGCTCTGCACAGGAGGCGGTTAGCTTTAATAGCGTTAACTCAGATGTCATTGCCCAAAGCGTGAAATAAAACAACATCTGGTGGCCTCTATTTGGGCAAAACGAGTCACTCATACTTGTGGCCAGCACGCAGCGAGACGCATATTTCTGTACCAAACAAACAAACGGCGCAGTTCGATGTCGAGCTCAACGCTCCGTTCAAACAATTCCGTTTTGTCATCTTCCTGCAAAATGTTTGTCCTCAAGGTCATTTCCTGCAGCCTAGTCTAGAGATTTAACCCGACATGAGATCCTATAATTAACAGCCTGGCTCCTCCGGACTGGTTATGTGACAAGCAGCGGGTGCATATTAAACACTGTGGTTTGCGCATATTTCTGCTGTTTGTTGTGTGAAGGCCCAAGCCAATGCAGTGCTGTGTGTGGTGGAGCTGCTCAGCCTGCTGTCATGCTGCTGCTGCTTGCTGCAGAGATGTGGACCATATGCTGGTCTCAAGAGGTTCCCACGATGTACTCTATTTGGTTAATTTTATGCAAATAAGCTATATTATTGCTTCGCTGCCTCTGTGTTTGATGATGTATTGAGAATTGGCGCATTTTGGACTCATTATGTCATCTGTCACACCATGAGTCAATAATTTATGAATGTGGGACTTCTGAGAGGAAGCTCTGGTGTGGATGCTCAAGCTGCCATGATGGCTACTGAGGACCTTCAGTGTGATGATAATCTGGTCTGATTAGTCTGTGCATCACCCACAACTGGCTTAAAAACTATAGCATATAAAGAGCAGAGAGTTATAAGATATATTCCTCCCTAATCCAGATTACAGCAGGCCGACTGTCTGCTCCTGCACGCTGTCCTCACTCGGGTCTGTGGGTTTACTGCAGCAGGGGCCTCTCTTACAACCAAGCACAGGCTTTGTTGTCATTGTCAGGTTATAGAACAATAGTGTTTGCAGTGGAAACTTGATAGTGGCGATCGAACATTTGACAAACTGGATCTGCTCTGACAGTGACGATCCAGGTCAGCGCTACCCGGGCCAGAGACTGGCACAGGCAGGATGCAGGGACATAAATAGAACAGGAACACCAGGGACATATTTGCAGGCTAACCTCCCTCTCCCTAAAAATACTCGAATTAACCCTGTGGTCATGCTCAATGTGGATATAAAAAGGGCAGTTTTCATACTGTGCTGTTATACTGTCATCACTCAAGCATAGATAAATGCATTATTCACATGTTCTTGCACCACAGGAACCATGGGAAAGCAGAACAGCAAGCTGACTCCCGAGGTGATGGAGGATCTGGTGAAGAACACAGAGTTTAATGAACACGAACTGAAGCAGTGGTACAAAGGCTTCCTGAAAGACTGCCCCACTGGCAGGCTGAATCTGGACGAATTCCAGCAGCTTTATGTCAAGGTTTGTTTCAAGTCAATGTCTCTTTATCATTTGATTCTTTTACATCTATCAGATCAGTGGTCCTTCATATGCCATGGCTATTTTGCGTCATGAAGTGGTGCTTTTAACTGCTAAAGCCTTGAATTATTGAACACATCTCTCCCACATTTGCAGTTCTTTCCTTATGGCGATGCATCCAAATTTGCACAACACGCCTTCAGAACCTTTGACAAAAATGGGGACGGCACCATTGATTTCCGAGAGTTCATTTGCGCTCTGTCCATCACGTCCCGCGGCAGCTTTGAGCAGAAACTCAACTGGGCCTTCAACATGTACGACCTGGACGGTGACGGCAAAATCACCAGAGTGGAGATGCTGGAGATAATCGAGGTAAGGGATTATCGAGTCATTAAGCTCTTGCTCATCAGGTACTTGCTTGTTATTTTTTTGGTGTTATCAGTGTCCTACACACCGGCAATGCCCTGAGTTCAGATCGCCAGTGACAAAACTGCAGTGGTATAGAATTACTTTGTGCCATTTCTGGGAACGTCATCAGTAGTAAATCTGATATGTCACAGAGAGCACAGCATATTGACCATTTCTGTAGTGATACATTTGCTCCATGCTTCAATGCAAATAATCTACATTAACTATTTCCTACCTTTTTTGTCTCAACGCCCCAAAAGCCCTATTGCACTAGATCTCAAGTATGTTGTACACCATTGGCCCTATTGCCTGCCTTGTTTCAAATGTGTGGATTGTATGGTAGATGTTGTTTGTCACTATGAATTTAATGAAAGTGGTATAGCTTTTTTCAAATTCCTCTTATTCAGTGTTTGTTTCACTTTGGAGAAGTTGCATTCATTATACTACCATTTGGAGCCCAGAAATTAACATTATCTATATATTTTTTTTATTTTTAACTTGTGACTTTTACCCAACAATTTCAAAAGTTAATTTGTTATCCCAATTTGAGCAAATAAGTTTAGCTAGCGTTGATTAGCTAACAGTTTCAACTGCTTATTTTCTTCATTAGTTAACAATTTCTACCTATTTTTGACTTTAAGCCAGCCAGCTTTCAATTTCAACTATTTAATTAATTGCTTATAGTTTTCAATTTCAACCGTTCTGTATTTTCTATTAGCCTTATCTTAGCTAACGTTTTGAGCTATTTATGCAGTGATTTTAGCTAACAATTATGTAAACTATACATTGGTCACTTTTTCTAAATATTCTAACTTTAATTTTGTGACTTTAAGACAATTACTTTGCTTTAATCCTACATTTTAAACATCTCACTACTCTTGGCTAACATTCTTGAGCAAACTGAAGTTAGCGCTAACATATTGAACTGTTTATCAATGTGTCTTACATTCTCTACCTTTCACACATTACGTTTTGGACACATTACTCTTTACACATAAAATATCTTTGATTTCTACAAATAGAGTTTACATAAACTGACTCAGTCCTTTTGGAGGCTCATGTTATTGAAAATGTACAGTGAGCATTAGACCTAATCGCAATAGTTTTTTTCTTTACACAAATGTAAGGTACTCATATCTTAATAAACCACAAGCTCTACATCTAGTTCAATTTTGGTTTGGCTGTATTCATTTGTTAAGCTTTCCACATACTCTTCTGTTACAGTAAAAAAAACGAACCCCCAGGTAATAAATACCACTTGCTGTGAATCACTGATCTCCATCTTTATGAACAAACGAACAATCCAGCTATGCTTTACTGGGTTACATAAGAATCAGTCCTGTGCTAATTTCTCACTGCATCTCACCCACAGGCAATCTACAAAATGGTGGGCACTGTGATCATGATGAAGATGAACGAGGATGGTTTGACACCGGCGCAGAGGGTGGACAAGATCTTCAGCAAAATGGATAAGAACAACGACGACCAGATCTCGTTGGAAGAGTTCAAAGAGGCTGCGAAGAGCGACCCGTCCATCGTGCTCCTGTTGCAGTGTGAAATGCAGAAGTGAGCCCTCCCTGCTCGCTCCTCTTCCCCGTCTGTAATCCACACACTCTGGACAGCAGCACATGTTTTAATGTCTCATTAGGTTCTCTGCCATTTCCACAGGAAAAAAAAAACAATGCTTGGACTATTTTTCAATGGACTCGCTTCTTGTGGTTGTATGCATGAGAATGTCAAATGCTGAATAATTTTGAATATAGCTATACAGATATCATACATTTCTATTTGGAAACATGCCAACGTGATTTGTGCACAGTAACCCTATACATTCTCATTCAACCCTAGCTTGTATATCAGTGGAGCACTGCATTAAATTATGTTCCTGCAGTATTTAGGATCCCCCAGTGTTCACTGCTGCAACGACTGTACGCTTTACATAATAGTAACAAAACAATAATTCCTATGATAATTGTAACTGTCTCTACTATCCAGACCTGTTGAGCTCTTGGAGAGTAGAGAGGCTCCGCGTCTGTTCCAGATGTTTTCACACGATGGAACCAAGGAGAGTAGGTTCTTTGCATGCATATATTATGTGTCAAAAAATATAATCTCTTACCTTTTGCATCTTTAGGTGGTTATAAAAGAGAAACCCTCCAGAATTCATTTAGTATTGTTGCATGGGATGTACAGTATGTGACTCATCAGACTCTTATTGTTCACCTCCAGTAACGTGGGCGCATGCTTCCCTCCGTTTGATACACGTGTATGTGTGACACTTGAGTTTTTGGGAATATATTTGGGTCGCAGTTGTGGGCTAATATCCAGGGAAGAGCTTTCACGTTACCAATGTGTTCTGTTTTGCTTCAGTGACTTCTAGGATGAGCAGAAATATATGGAGCAGCTTTTTCTTTATGAACTTACTGTACTGCTGCCGCTTTAACTCGAGGAAATGACCACTGTCATTAGGCCCAGTACTCATTCATTACTCCCAACATATGATCCTAATTGGCTTCTTATACTGGCTGCTTCTTTGACTTCGACTGAAACGACTTAACTCAGTACATATCAACATGTTTACAGAAAAGAAAGCACTGCAAAATGAGTACAGTCTCGGCTTTTGACCTTATTGCTGGGCGCTCACTCTCTTGGCTGGGGACCTCATGAGAAGAGCACCACTTCCAAAGGTTTTAAAAGGCCTCATATATGTTTACTGGACACACTGCATTCCTACTTATAAAACTTTTTTGTAAGGAGAAACTTTTTATTGAAAGGTCTCATCTTCTAATCTATTCCATTTGCAACAATCATTAAAGATGCAGGACCCTCAAGAGAAGCATTAGACGGAGCTTTTGAAAGAGTGTTTCAGTGTGAGACGTCAGCCAGGTGATAATGCGAGTTTGAAACTTGTGGCGGAAACTCTCTTTCAAACGCTTTGCTTCCCCATTTCTAGCCTATGCAAGCATGGACTGAGAGTCTGCTTGTAGTCCACTGACAGTAGTGGAGGTTGCAGAAGCTTTTCACTGTTCTGTCTGAAACATAAACTGAAACCAACCCTCACATTATTTATGTCGTTATTTGTTTACACATTTCAGTCCAGTCACTAAGTCATTCTTTGTCTAGTAAATGTTTCTATCAAATATGAAAAAAATCATAAGTGACTGTATTCTTTTATACATGTGGCATGTGTTTCACCCAAAAATAATTCTGTAGTGATTAAAATGAATAAACCATCACCAGGCTTTTTCAAAAGACACAGTGGAGCAGGTGTAATTAATGCAAAAAAGAGGTGCAGAATTAAAAGAGCGTGTTGATGTGGATGAGCGGATGGACCGCATGAGCTAATAGCTGATTGTGTGTATGCGTGGGTGTGTGTTAGAATAGAATAGAATAGAATTACTTTATTGATCCCAAACTGGGAAATTGTGGCGTTACAGCAGCAGGTTATCCAACACATAATATGAGTAAATTATTGTGTGTGTCAATGCTCGTGTGTGTGTGTGTGTTATTGTGTGTGTCAGTGCACGTGTGTGTGTGTGTGTATGTGTGTTAATGCGTGTGTGCATGTGTGCGTGCGTGTGTGAAAAAGTATGACGCATATAAAAGTGTTTAGGTTATGCAAAAGGTTTATTAGAACAATAGACATGAGTCTTGACAGTAATACCGTTTAAATACTGTTAGATTAAAGGTTCTCAACAAGGGAGAGAATTAGATAGAGCTCAAGTTAATGTCACATAGATGATGCCAAAGATGATCAGTGTTTGTCCGTGACTAGTTGCAAACTTCACCAATAGATTGCTTGTTGTGAGAATACTAACAGTGTCAAGTTGAGTTCATAGAGTAAAATGGTTTGATCTTTAGTACCAAACTCCGGATGCAAAAGTCACCAACATTTAAACTAAAATGTATACTACATCTAAACAGATTTTTAACTTCAGGAATAATGAACACTAGCATTCTAAAACACACAGAAAACTGAGTTACAGAATAATGAATAACACAACATTTTTACATATAACACATCCTTTACACTATCTCATTAAAGAAACAAAGAGTGGAACTCCCAAACACATACAGTATGGTAAGGCTGAAAAATAAATGACTGTGCACATAAACATTCTTTATGTTATGGTCTCTAGAGCTCACTTCAAACGTCTTCATCCTCAGTCTCCCTTTGATTGTGTGGACCCTGAAGCTGGTGGACTTTGATGAGGCTGCTTTTAGGCAAATTTCTGAAAGAGAGAAACAGCAGGTGACTTTGTGATTAGTCATCAAACCCTTTGAAACAGTGAATCAAGTCTTTATGAATGCAAAAAGAGACATAAAAATATGACCACTGTTGCATGGCACTGTTCAAATTAAATCAGTGTTTAAATATATATTTAAAATCCATATTTAAATGAGGTTAAGAAATGTGTTAAAATTCTAAAAAGTGTATAGAATTTCAATACATAACGCCACTATTAATTACAAATTGTTAAAGTTTAAAAGCCTCTAAAAGATTAATATAATCAATAAAATCCACGAAAAACAGATACAGATAATGATTATTTTATTTATCATATTCTGATTTTATTCAAACACTTCTCATTTTGCAAAAGTTTTCAAATTTTGAAGATCCAGTACTGTAACTGATCTGACGGTTCATTTTAGCCTCTTTAATAAAACAAAAGATGTAAAGTTACAATTAATCTAAAGGTTTAGGTCAGAAACAAACACTAAAAAGAGCGCCACCTGGTGGTGAGGGGAGTGATGAAGATAAACTGTCGAAGTTGCTGCCGCTGAGACAGATCCAGGAGGAGATCCAGAGAGATTCTGCGATTTTGCATATCCTACAAAGAAAGTGAGTTAAATTTAAAACATTTTCATACAAATTGTTAATGCGCGAGGTAATGCTGTTGTTTCTGTGTGCTCACCATGTAGACGTCGAACTCATCGAGGCATCTGAAGGGTGACTCTGTGATCTCCCACAAGGAGAGCATGAAGCAAACAGTGGAGAAGGAGCGTTCACCGCCTGACAGTGACCTCGTGTCCCTCACAGCTTCATCCTCCCTCTCTGTAGGCCCAACCTTTACATCAAGAGGTGGGGTATTTATTCCCAAAACACTTACACAAGATTATTTAGGTGCTTTTTGTGCCCTTTTTGGGAGGAGAGGACAGTAGATTTGAGGACAGTCAAATGCAGGGCGGCTGTTTCGAGGGCTATAACCTTTGCATATGGACGTTCAATTTAACCACTGAGCTGAACCGAGGGTTTTTAAAAAGTAATGTATATACCAGGTGTTTGTTTTCATTAAGATTGTTTTGTGGCTGTGTGGTGGCAGGAAATGATATGGGAAAAGGAAAGAGGAGGGACAATAATGATGTTTTTTATACTCCTTAATTTGATGCGATTTTGAGTCATTCTGTGAACTTGAACAGGAAGAAACTATCACAGTAGATCACATATAAAAACACACATATAGACGTACCGAGATGTAGAGCGTCTCATTGATGTGATCAAAAATCATGGCGCCGCAGCAGTTCATCTTTATGAGAAAGTTATTGAAGTACAGCTTGCATCTGACAGAGAGAGACCTTTGGGAGGAGAAAGATGAAACCATGAAATCAGAGATGCTACAGTTATGTATTTCTGGATTGTTTTGAAACTCAGTAGGGCATTATTTACCTACGCATGACTTTGTATCTGTTGCTCCTGTCTGACATGATGTTGTCAAGTCGATCAATGAACCCCCGCAGATCTGTCACGTGGTTGGTTTTCTTTCTGTAGAGAGCGAGGGCCTCTGCGTACTCCCTAATGAGGGCACAGGACAGAAAATGGCCTAGCCTAAATTTTTCTTATTCCAGAACAAGGCCACAAGATGATTTAGCGATGGCCAACGGGCAGATCAGATTGAAGTATCCAGTTGAAAAGACTCTCGGTGGCAGGAGGAGTCTCGGCGGATGAGCTGAACCTCAGTGGGCAGAAACACATTTTTACCCGACTACATAACTAAAGCTGAAACCTAGTGCCATGATGAGGAAGAATGATGCAGGACAACTCTAACACTTCTTCTATTCAAAATATCAAACGTCTTTCTACAAAATGAACTCAAAGTTAGCTGGTTAGCTTCGGCACTTTGAAAATACTGCATTACCAATCAAATCATGCCTTAAAAATGTCACTTAAAGCTCCTGTGAGGAACTCTCTGCACCGATCTTGGAGCCCCTCGAGGACAAAGTTGTACATCATATCTCTTTACTGATCCTTTCTTGTGCATGAGTAAGTAGAGTTTTCTGAAGAAAATGCGCAATATTTTACTTTTTCATGAAAAGAAATCTACAATGTATTGCAGTAAAAATACAAAAATAAATCCCGAGTCAAAACAGAATGCAATAGGACATCAGCAAACAAATATTCAGGTATAGAACAAGAACAACTTGTACTTTGAATAAGTAATTAACTACAGCACTTAAGTTGATGTGGGATTTCATGTTGATGTATTATTAACGGTCAACCAAATTACTACTGGAAAACGGTGCACACCTGAAAGAGGTTCAACCTTTCACATTAGGCCTATCTGCAGAGCTGCTCCGTCCTTGGGAGATATTTTGTGCCAGCGCGTTTCAACATCTCTGTTCCCACACATTTTTCAGAAAACTTGTCATTTCTCACCTGACCACTTTCTCCGGCCTCCATGGCTGCTCTCCAAAACTTTGATTTTCTCCTTCAGCTGAGTGATTTCTCTGTCGATGCTCATGGTGCTGCCGCTCACCTGCTGCCGCTCAGGACTGATCTCTGAGGCTTTGGCCACATATTCCTGTCATCACATATGTGAGCGCTTAAGACAGCCTTACGGATTTTACTTGAGATCGCTACAGATCTCTGGAGGCAGAAAATCACCTCTTAAGTTGAGTTTTTCCAACTGCTAGCTAGCTGATAGGAATGGTTTTGTATAGCTAAAGGGCGAGAGATAAACTGTACTATAATAAACACTTTAGCCTCAAATGAAAATGCTACATCACTTACATTACAACTGTTTTAGTAAAGCTATTGGTACCTGTAACTCTTCTTCTCTTTGCGCAAGGTCACTTTTCATAGCTTGGATGTTGTCTTCATGAGCCTTAAGTTGGTTCTCTATGATCTTAAAATTATGTTTACACTTTGTACACTCAGCCTCCAGCTTCTCTTGTTCATGCTTCAGGACAACAAACAAAATATTACATTTTACAACCACTACTTCATATAAGAAAGGCTTTACACACTAACAATAGATGCAGAATCTAGGCAGAAACATGCCTGCCTTGACTGTACCTTTAAGGGCTCCCTCTCTTCAAGGAGTTGATCAAACCGTTTCCTGACAGAAGAGTATTCTGACTCCATGTCCTCTGCCTTTTTCCAGCATTTGTCTAGCTCCAACTTTGCTTCATCAACAGCCTGTTTCTCTGTCTTGATCTTCTGACTGTTCTCATTGGCAACTTCTTCCTGCAAAAAGCATTTGAAGACATTGGACTTACAAAATCCCTCTTAGGATTTGTGTCTGTTTTAATGAAAGACAACTGTAAATGATCACCAAGGAGCTGATGTCACTAGCGTGCTCCTCTCCAGCCGTCTGCAGCTCAGTTATAGTTGCCTTGATTTGATTCACAGAGGCCTGTATAAAAAAAAGCCAATGTTATTTGCAATATACCCTTCAATAAAGCTAGATAAATCACACAATTTTCAGCAGTGACCTTTCTGCAAAAACAGCAGCAATAAAAACCAAGCTGTCTCTCAGATTGAGCAAAAAGAAAATGGTCATATCAGGAGAGAAACAAAAGAAAATGTTCTGAGGGAAGCATTACTGGTATAAAACGTTCTGGTGCAAATCTTGAAAGAGTTCACAGTTCACTGACCAGAGTTTTCTTCAGGATGGTAATGGCGGTATTCAGCTTGTTCTCCATGTACGAGATGTCATTAGACAAAAAGGTCACTTGAAGCTGAAACCTGGACAGCTGAGCCTGCTGATTCTCCAACTCTGACTCCAACACGCTGTGACAGGCAGGATACAACTTTATTTTAACTCAGAACTCCACACAGTCGACAGAGAAAAGAATCTCATAACAGCCTCTTTAGAAAACTCGCAAACACTGCAGACTCATGTTTTCATTGAACAAAGAGTGAAGCTTTGAAAATGAAATACTTAATATTTGAGTATTCACTCCAAATGGAATAAATGCAGGAGAAAGAAAATGCAGCAAATTGTGCACATGTTGACACGATCGTTGAGTGTTTCTTAATTTAATGTATTTTTTCAAGGCTCATTTGTTGACATTCAAGAGATAGATAAGAAGATGTATACCAATCTGGGGTTTGGATGCTTAACAGCAAGTTGGATACAGTACAGTGTCTGATTAGCTTAACTTAGCTTAGCATAAAAGTGGAAACAGCGGGAAACTGCTAGCATGGTTGAGATTCATGATGAAATACATGAATCACTGATTTTCAGAGGTGCCTGTGAGTAGAGATGTAACTCTGTCAGTCTTCATTTTTTTTCTCATAATGTGTGTTGCATGCATATCAATTACCTTATTTCAGTCTCGAGATTCACGCCCAGATACTTGGCTCTGCTGCAGTCAGAGGTATAATAACGGTTGTGATACACCTGATCTCCCTCAGCAGTGAAGGCCTCACGACAGTTTAGGGGTGACTCTCCTTGCTGCATGATCCTCCTCGCTATGTCTTTTTCCTTAAACAATGAAGCCACAGTTATTTCGTGATAAGACAAAAACTGAACAAATTTAAAAAAAAATGTAATCCATAACATGCCAGATTTGGTATCAATGTGCATTAGAGATGTACTTACCTTGATGATCAGAACAGATTCTATCGCCCTTATATCAATGAGACAGTTTATGATGACCGGGCTTGGTGCTGTGATTACGTCAATCAGAGTATGACATTCAGGGTGATATGCTTTCCTACAAAAAAAAAAAAGCATAGACGTTAAACACATGATTATTTGAACTTTCAAATGTTATAAGTCAACAACAAAGAAATTCTGCTGCTGCTGACCGTCTTTGAATGTTGTACAGTTTGTCTGAGAAAGGGCAGACAATGATTTTTGGCCTGGTGCCCGTTGGATAATAGGTAGACATCAGCTCCTGAAGGACTGCCTCGTCCTTGTAGTTGTCACAGCAGAAAGTCTTCATGAGGGTCCGCAGACAACACTCCACAGCTAATGCCAACGTGGGATCGTTCAGACTGAAACAGGCTCCTGAGAGAGGACACAGGCTGTCTATATACTGTATAATTTGTAGAACTAATTCACTGCAGGTGTGTAAAAACTAAACTTAAAATTTAAAAAAAAAAAAAAAAAGCATAAAAGCTTACTAGGACCACTGCAGTTAAGAAATAAATTACACTTCCAGAGGAGAAGGATTAAGAATAACAGTTGAAATTACTGAGAAGAAAATGTAACATTCTCTAAGATTATACATTTAAAAAAAACTCTTTGAGATTATGGTCACAAATTAAGATGAAACAAAACTTGCAAAAAATAATGTTTAAAAAATTGGGAGTTTTTCTTGAAATATCATAACCTTCCATTGGAGTGTTAATTAATTTTGTTCTTACATTTATTAAATACATTTATTTGCTTTCTCGACTAGAGCTAGAATAATCTTTAATACTATTCTAAAATCAAAATGATGCAGAAGTTAGCATCCTACTAGCCTAGCTAAGCATACAAACAGGAAACTAAAGAAACAGCTAGCGTGAGTTTGTCCAGCTCACTAATCAGTGCAGTTACTGCTACTTGCTTCTAGCCAGGGCATAGTCTCCTGTAAAACCTTAATTTGTTCATTTCTTACCCTTTTTATACATTTAAGATATGTCATGTTTATTGAGAGAGATTTGGTGATGCTGGTGAGTGTAAATGCTACCTTAGGACAGACACAGGCTAGCTGTTTCCCCTTGTTTCTATTTTTTTTTTTTTTTTTTTTTGAGCAAACGTTATAACTGGTTTTCTGCAATAATGCAAATAAGCGTAATTCCTAGAAAGTCAAACTAATCTCTTTCATTAATCAGCAGAGAAATCAAACCAACAAAACATGATAAAAGGAGTCACCAATGGGACCAAGAGGTCTCTTGAGAAAGCGTCCTTTGGCATGCGCCTCAGAAATGGAATTCAGCAGGTCGGGTACATTATCTCCAAAACGCTTCAGGTTGTTTGATTGACTGGCGAGGAACCGAGTCTTTCTCATAAGTTTAGACTTGTATGATTGTTGGATGTTTCTTTCTTCCAATCTGTCCAATAGTAACAATTCTCCATCAGGGCAGAAAATCTGGGCCCTCATATAAATGACAATCCCCCCACAAACCCTCAACATACATTCGTTTCAAGTAAAAGTAGCGTCTGGTACCTCAGCTTGTCCTGCTCTTCCCTTCTTTTGAAAAGTGCCTGATGTTTGCTATTGATCTCTTGATTCAGCTGTGAGCACTCACTCTCAAGCTCTGCAAGCTCCTTTTTCAGGCTAGATATTTTCTTCTTCTGTTTAGTGTACTCTGTCTCTCCATCTTCGTTTGGGCTCCTGCTGAGGGGAAGAAACATAGTATCAAATGCATGCATGTCTTTCTCTTCAGGCCCTCAGTTAGAGGATTTGTTTCACCTCAGTACTCCCCCACCTTGTTTTTGCATTGTTTATTTTCTTCTGAAGAAGATTTTGTTCCTTCTCTGAGTGCTTGAGTTTGTTCAGAACCTGAAAATAGACAAGCTGAGGGAAAAGATTGCGTCTCTTTAAACAACTTACGTTATGCATACTTTAAAAAAATAGGTTTTGCACAGATACAGAACTGGGTTTATCATGAATTTCTAAATCCATACCTCCTTTTCCTTATGACTTTTGTTAATAATCCTCACTTGTATTTTCAACTTGTGACAGTCATCTGACAAAGAGTCTTGTTGCTCTCTCAGATTGTCAATACAGCTCTTTACGGACTGAAGCCTCCCTTCTAATTGGATGACCTTAGCCTATGTGGAAGGAAACTCATCATGTTAGAATTTTAAATATCAGAAAAGAATGTATTGATGTCCAAAGATTGGATACATTATCATATTGTGATAAAAACAACATGTAGACTGTGAGATTTAGCTTTAAATGAAAGTATTCTTTGAGACAAAGTCATCTACAGAAGTTTCACTGTGCTAAGTGTTGCTAGCATCTCTGTTTATAATGTGCATGGAGCTTGTGACCTGCAGTGACTGACACAGCGTAAGTTCTGTTTAAATCCTAGATATAACCTCCTCCTTTATAAAAGAAATATAAAAACACCTCACGTGTAGTAAATTCTTCACAGATAAAAATGAAAGGAGAGACATTCTGAGGGCAATACACTACGGAGTTAAAGGGATCTCTGAAGACAACATGTTAGAACAAAAAATTCCAAGTCGACATTGCTTTTTCACTGGAGGACAGGTATTATAAACCTCCAAGTGTACTGTCCTAACATGAAGTGAAGACACTTAGTTCAATTGCTGGTGAGGGTGAGAAGGGCTACAACATTTATAAATAGACTCTTGTATATTTAATAGAATAAGGACACTTGTGAGTCACCTGATAGAGCTGAAGGTTCTTCTGATGTTTGCCATTATTCCCTTCCCTTTCAATGTCCTCCTTCAGCTGCTGTACTAACACCTCCTTCTCTCTGACCTGACAGGAAAAAAAGATGACCATGATCATCTGCAAGAGCTGAATGAAACTGACTGAAAATGAAGAACCAATGGAGATGTTGTTCTTGCTATTATTCCACTTTTCTTTGGTATGGTTTCTGCTTTCTTTTCCTACATTTTCACACTACTTAGAATCACAATGAAATGTAAAGAAAGCAGGAAGTAAAAAAAATAAATGGTACAAATAAATTGTATCTGTTTTATACAACTGTGACAAAATATCTCTTACCAAACACCATGCCATTTTTTTCTTCAGATTCTCAAGGACCTCTTTATCTCACTGGTGGATGACACAGTTTCATACCTCTCTTTCTTCTTTAGAAACTCCTGTTTCAGGTCCTTGAGACACTGAATACAAAAAAGTGTAAAAACATTAAATTAATGGACTTCATTCTGGCAAAAGACACAAAAGGAAATGAATGGACAAACTGATCAGAAGCATGTAGGAGTGAAGGTCACAATGTGCATCAAGGGATAAAGTGTAAGACAAAAAAAATGGTGTTCTGTACAAGAGCAGAGCAATCAAAGTGCTTACTTATGTTAACAATCATCCCTATGGTGTTTACTTAAAAGTGAACAGCATACCTCAAGTAAATATCACCATTTTGGAGTCATATCAAAGTCTCTTGGTTGACAACACCAAACTATCAGCTAAACATGTGTGACGTATTGATTTTGTAGAGCTAATGCAACCAAATAATGTGATACAAAATAATAACAAGATCTGCATGTAAGGTACAATTTGAATGACAATAAAGTCTAAGATGTGTGATGAGAGCCGTACTTCCTCTTGTCTCTTGACCTGCTGTCGTGTGACTGTTGTAGTTTGTTTGATCTGGGTGTAATCCCTCTTCATCTGTTCCAGCTGAGTTGCTTTCATGAAGAACTACAAAAGCCAAAAAAAAAAGCCAAAAAATATCAAACGAAAGAAATATTACATCAGATTCTCCAAATTCATATGTAGTCTAAAAAATAAATCAAACCTTATCAGTTATGTATTACCTTATACTTGTCTGATTCACTTTTTGTATGCAGGAACTGTTTGCTCATTTCTTGGTTAAGAATGGACACTGGGTTATCCACCTGGGAAACGCAAAACAAGCGTGCTGCTGAGGCTTTCAGGTAGAATGAGGCTGCAGTGATGAACGATTTCTACGACAGCCTGAAAACATTTATGAAATCAAATAAAAACCTGGATGTTGAAGTGATCCAAGATGGCCGTCAACTCCTCCTTTTTGTGTGAGATAAGTTTTCCTAGAATACACGACAGACGACAACATGTGTTTGTCAAGGCTTTGTCATACTCATGGGGATTACATTATTGGTTTCCCACTACCTGAGCAGCAACTTAAACTCAACTTATCATTGTGATCATTCCTTTAATGTGGGGAGTGAAAGCATGTTTTATTCATCTCTTGAATAAAACTGAATCTTGTGTTTTCCAATGTCTACAATACAGTGTTTCAATTTGGGAAACAATACATTTGAATAGATGTCCCTTAAGCATAAAGACAAGCAGACAAATCTATAAACAGCGTACACCAGGAAACAACACACATTAAAACACACTCATCAACGTTTCAGTTCCTGCCCCACCCATTACAACTGAAAAATATTTAAAAAAAACAAAATAGTAGAAACACCCAAATAAGTGTGGAGCACGATCACACCTGAAATAACTTTCTTATTCTACTTTCTTTAAACTGCCTAATCTTAAAACACAAACTGTTTTAAGTGGGAAGTGCTGCTCAAGTTCTTATTATCCACATAAGAAAGTGGCACTATTTCAACTTTATGACTAAAATATCAACCTGTATGAATGTAAACATGTCTTGTGTTTACACTGGCTCAGAGCAGCCAAAGTGTCGTGTACATTAAATAGACTCGTGCAAGTTTATAGAGGAACATTCCTGACCATGACTTAAGTATTTACAGAGCTCGGATGGATAAGAGTCTGACTGAAGAGCTTTTGTCCTCACGTCTCCTAAGTGTGTCTGACATTTAGAGAAGGTTTAATGGGAAATCTGTTACTGCAGAAAGGCACCTGATTTGCTCTTCAGTTTGCAGGTTCGAGTTCCATTGCAAGAGATGTGATGCTCAACAGAGATGCAGTCGCCGTACACGTCACTTTTATAGGCATCTGGTCCTCTGTTTCTCAGATTTATGGTTATATCTGCAGCACTAGAGAGAAGACTCTACTGTTATGGCATTCAATTCATTATCGATTGTCCCTGAGGACTTTTTCCCACGGAGTCCAGCATTATGTACAGTGACTCACTCTTCACCAGTCTTTACAAAATCCTTCAGGGACACTCCTCTGTTTGTGACGATTGCCTTTCCACCGAGGCCGACAGTCAGGGCATTCAGGATTGCACTTTTTCCACCTCAGAATTAAATTAGAATCAACACAGAGATTAAATTACTGCATGGAGAATAAACCACAGACACTAGTGCCTCACATGCAGAACTAAAGGTTGTAGGCAAATGAACACCCTCTTTTACATTTGAAGCTGCTGTCATTAATCATTTAGCGCTATTTTCTCTTCAAGTGTAATTTCATTTATTGTAGAAACATCTACATTTTCTATCTGTCTACTTACCTCTCTGTATACCTGTATGTGTGCTTATCTAACAGTGTAACTGTCTGTCTGCCCAGCTATCTATCTATCTATCTATCTATCTATCTATCTATCCATCGTATATGTGGCGGCTGTGGCTCAGTGTTAGAGTCGGTCGCCTCTCAACCAGATGAAGCAGGCTGCACCCTGCCACATGCAGGCAGTACATGCAGGTGCAGCCACGTGTCTGATGAATTAATGAATGGGATTAACTAATGGCCACTAGCAGCCTCTGCCATCAGTATGTGAATGGGTAGGTGTGACCTGCATTGTAAAGTAGTCAGAAGACTAGATCAGCGCTATACAAGCTCAAGTCCATTTAGCACCTATCATACTATGAACAACAGTAATCATGCACTCATACACAATAAGTTAAGAAAAACTCATTACAGTCCTCTACTTTTAAATGACACAAATAGATCATCATTGCACCTTAGTTTTAAAGGCAGTAGATACAGCAGAGTCTGTCCATCCCCCTGATTGGGTTGGGAGGTATAAAACATACAAGCTGAAGCAAACAGAAGATCTAATGACAGATCCTGATGGCCTTACTTCCATTGTTGCCGACGATGAAATTCACATTTAGCCCAAACTGGAATGGACCGAGCATATGGTGACACATGAAATTCTTCATACTGACACTTTCAATAAGGCCGGTATCTCCCTAGAAATACATGCAGGAAACAATATTCAGCCGTTAATGAGTTGGAGAGAAAGTAAAGACAAATAGTTGGTGCTTGGGGAAATTACTCACTGTGGCAGAAAGAGGGAAGCTGCTGGAAGATGGTTCCTGATGGGTTTTATCACCCGGTGTTTCTTCATTACCAACAATTCTTAATCTGCAGCTCTTGTCTGCTTTCTTATCACCGCTCACTTTAAGTTTCCTCTTACTCATACTGAAACAAGTATCTGAGAACACAAATAACAGAAACAAGAACTTGCAATGAACTGTTCAGTTTTTTTGTGCTGCACAGGGGACGCATGATGTCAAGGCAGATATTTTATTGGCCAATGTAATCCTGTCAAAGTTATTTTGGTATAAATCCATGTCAACATACATGCTGTCATAAAATCATAACTTCTATGGAGCCCAAAGATTTGCCCTGCCAAGTGGACCCTTATTGTTAACAATACTGTGACAACGGTCCATTGAATAAGTCATCAATCATCTTCGCTCACTTTATTTGAACTGATTTTCATTCCCTTAAACAAGAGTTTAAAAAAGAAATAAACTACATAAAAACTTGTTATCTTATCAGAATTGGACAAAAGAAAAAATATATTAAAAGTAACAGCTGAAAATATTGATAAAGTGCATCTCTTCTTTGTTTGTCTTTGCTGTAAATTGTGATGCCTTTTGTGATACACTAGAAGAAATAAGAATACACTTTGAGCGAACTACTGATATGGATGCAGACAACAAAAACATACTTGATTTTATGGTGAAAAAAATGAATATTCGGTGTCATCGGCATTTAAATATGTCTATCATGTCAGACTTGAACAATCTCTTATGTTCATCAACTTTAGAAAATGAATTTTGCTATTATGAGACATTTACAAATGTGACACCCGACACACTATGGTGGGATATTTAAAGACTTGAGTAGCTATAAAAAAAGAAAACAAAACTGGTCGAATGAGCGATAAAACAGAGACATGAGCCTTCAGTCTTCAAGCCAGGAGGTAGATCATAGCCTATTGTAAACCCAGCAGTAACACAACAGCAGCAGATACAATTGTAATGCACAATCAACTTTTCAGATTTACCTGTAGGCTATTGCAGACTTTTTTAAAACATTTTGACTATAGACATTATCTGCAAATCACTATTCCCACTTAAATTGTGAAATAGGTGTTCAGAAGTAGCTAGACATTTTTGGCACTCAGAAGAATTTAGACACATGCTTTTATGAAGACTGCACACCAACGTCCAAAATAACTGACTCACAGGCCCTAAGGTTTCTTGAAAAAAATATGACAAGCATTTTTCTCATTTCGCCTTCCATTGTGAGATTGCCGTTGTGTGTAGCCTGTAAAACAAACATGATGAAAGATTAAATCGTTGATCGATATGTCCTGGTCACAATGTTGAGACTGTTGCCAAGTACCTACTCAATCTGCCAGTAGGCAGTAGACAGTAGGCCTACCTACTATCCGTGCTGTCTACTGTTTAGTACCTACTATTCAGTAGGCGCGCACAGTAGGGAGATATTTGTTCCTACTTCGTCTGATTCATTCAGTAAGTAAAAGACAGATTAAATAACTAAATAACAAACAGTACACAAAGGAAAGTACAAATGAAAGACAGCAAGATACAGAATATAAAGTAAAATAAACCAATAAAGATGCATTTAAATAGTGAAATCATTATTTAAATGGGGGAAAGTATACATTTGTCACATTTTTTGTTGTTAACTAAAAGTAGCGATTTCAGTCGGGACTACAATTTAAGATTAAATCAATCAACGCTCGTTTGTTTTGATTTGGAAGCGCACGTGAAGGTGAAGTGACGATTTACGTTTAATTTCACACAGCATTGTGGGTGGTAAAATACAATACAATACAAAAACATTTCCTGAAAGGATGCATCCGATCCAAGCTGCATAAAACCAGCTTTTTGAGGTGGACCCAAAAAATGCATACTGAATGACCACGAAAGTTCAGTATACTGAAACTCCCTTCTGAAAAGTACGCACTGCATACTGAACTGTGACACCCACTTCAATTCAAACACTCAACAAAACTTACTACGTCATCAACTGCCTGGATTGACGTCCACAATACAATCTCACGTTTCTGTGAATGAAAAAAGGTAGAACGACCATTAGCCGGTATAGCATTTGGAGTTTATCGCATAAACAAATCTGAACAATGACTAGGTTTGCTTAAGAAGCTGCATAATGTTATTTGTAGCGGTTCTTGTAGACCGCCCGGGGCCGACGGATTTACCTGCAATCAAAGCCTTTAAGAACCGGTGTGAGTATCCGCCCCAACTCCTGCCACTGAATCTCATTCATCATGCGTCAAACACGGTGAGCAACTCTGTCTGCATGGTGGTAGAAGTCACTAATGTAATCGTTTAGGATACCTCAGATAAAGATTCCGGCTGATAATCATTGAGCGCAATGTAAAGTGTGGGCTCAATGTTGTGGATACCTTGTTGTATTTTGTGATGCATTCATTCGCAGCGAAAGGAGCTGCAGAGTAGACTTTCTCTGAATGATTAGAGCTTTAAGGAGTCACAGACGGAACACTATTATTTACAGGATGAGTACATTCATGTCTCAAGTAAATGTTGGAACTTTTGGGTGATTTTTGGGTTTGCTATTGGTTAAGAGTTGGCGATCTTTATTTATTACTGACATGTTGTAAATTGTGTCCCTTCAGTTGTTTGTTGCAGTGTTATGTCACAAGATTTGACGTCGTGCACCTAACTTTTGAAACATTTTAATGGTCTTCCCTCTTGAATGTTAAATACTTGCTTGTCTGAAAAATCAGCCTACAGTAGGCCTACACCTTTTGAATAATGGGGAAATGAACTGTCTCTATTGAATTTGGGATACTGTAGGTAACTGTCATCTACATGTAAATGTACCATAAAGAATGATTGAACAACACATTACCCCTAAATTAGGTTAAAACTGGTCATAAAACTGGTGTGTTCAGCAGATGGACAGTGGGTGGCACCAAATCCCATTTTAGTTGATCTCAAAATGTATTAATCATCAATCATTTAATTGAACAGCCAGTATTTTTTATTGGTAAGAAGTAACATTTCTAGAATACTAGTGCTGATTTTTACATACATGTGCCAGTTAAATAGGAACACCTGGCTTAGCGACAGGTCAGACTGTTTTTTTTTTGTTAACACCTACAAGATCAGGCTTACACCTCTGTGAATACAGCATTGAACAGACAAACATTGTACCGTATTTTACTTTAAGCTATGTGTAAATAAACAAGCGTGTATTACCATACAACCATTGAGTTTTTTGCTAGTTTGTACCTCTTCTTGATCGTCTAAGATATTTTTCTTCTCCAATTTTTTATGTTTTAAAAGAAACTTACATTTGCTTTAAAAAAATCGCAAGATGCTTTCAAAATACTTAAATACTTAAATAGTCTAAGAATCATCAAAGACTCCTTTATTAACCCATGTGGATAGAAGAATATTAGAACAGTTATCAGTATTTTCTTCCTTTGGGTTTTTTAAAGATCAGAAATAAAAAAAAGGTTAATACATAAAAACAACTGTATGAGAGTAACAATTAAATTTGTACTTCTTTTTATTCATGTTGTGGTCAATTTATTTTTAATGACATGAGGCAGATAGCAGAGGAATAAGAGCACTTCTTGAAATTGGTGACATCAACTCTAAATGCTTTGCAGTATGTTTCTATGCTCCCCTGTTTTAAATGGTAACATGTTTTTTTTGTCCTAATTTTCAGAAATATTTGACCTCTGAGCTTCAAAATGTGTTCAATTCCTGGACTCCCTACACCAGGATCCGAAGTGCCTGTTCACATCACAAGGGTAAACCTTAACACCAATTGTGGTCTTGTGGAATTATGGGTCAACATGGGAGATGAGCGGAAGCATATTTATGCACAGATGAGAGAGGAGATTCAGATTCCTAAAAAGAAGTTTAACGGATCAGAAGGAAAACCAGCAGATCTGTGTCTTGTTTGCATCAGTGACACCTGGCACAGAGCTCGGATTGTATCAAGTAAGGGTGAAACTTACAATGTTTATCTGATTGACCAGGGACAGCCTCATATCACCACAAGTGAAGCTTTAGCATGGGGCCAGAGTGACAGTTTCCTCCTTCCACCTGAAATCGAAGCCTGCATACTTGCAAATGTCCTCTCCCTTGAGAATAGCTGGCCTGAGAAAGCCTCCAAGTTTTTGAAATCTCTACATGGAAAGACTTTTAAGGGACTGGTTCAACATGTTTTGATGGCAGACAGGATAATTCTCCTTGATATATCAATTGTTTCCAAATATATGTGTAAGTTTGGGGTAGCAAGGAAGGTACCAGCAGATGAGTTTAAATGCCTCGTACAAGAACGCCTTCATTTCCCAAAAGGAGTTGTTTCTGAAGTTCACCTCAAAACACATGAGCAGAATCTGAATGTTGGTTCCCAACTTAATAAAAGTCCCCAGTACTTTTACCCAGAACGGTTAACTGAAACTTATGAAACTGTTATTGTGACAGAGATAACGAATCCAGAAAGCATATTTTGCTGTCTCCAAACTCTTTCCAAGACATTAAAGACATTATCAGAAGAGATCAACCAGCACTATGAAGCAAGCTCAGATTTTGGAGAGGCACAACCACAGACCTGCGGGGATCCATGTGCTGCTAAAGGCAAAAATGGCAGATGGAATCGCTCGTTACTTAGGCAAAACCTGCCAAGTGATGGTACTGTAGAAGTCCTGCATGTGGATGAAGGAAAAACCAAACTTGTCCGAGTTGGAGACATCAAACCACTGCATGAAAAATTCCTGAGAATGCCTGTTTTCACATATCGCTGCTCCCTTGATGGTGTTAAAAATAACGGGGCAGGATGGACCAACGAGCAAACTGATCACCTGAAATCAATCCTCCTAAACAAGACTGTTTTGGCAAGGTTTAACTGCCATGATAAACCTCAGGATGTCTATCATGTCACTCTCTATGAATTTGATGAAGAATGCATAAACGATCGGTTTATAAAAAAGACAGGACTCTCTCCTCCCTTAAAGTCTAAAGGAGATTCGGATGCTTTGGATGAACCCATTGTGTCATCAATTGGTTTGTTTGTTCATTCCCTTGGAAACAAACAAGGTGTGGATTTCAGCAATGGTTTATTGGAGGAAGAAGCCAATAACATTGAAGTCAATGGGAGATCAGATGATGTGGATACCTCTTGCTCTGGTGATATTGATATCAAAGAGAACTCTGAACATTCAGACCCTGCAATGCTTAGCAATATGTATCTTCCAACAAGCGGTTTCCATTTTGTGATGCAAAATGGTGATGATGACATGTACACTGAAGGAAAAAGCATGAATGTAACAGTGTCTTGCATTGAAAGCCTACAAAAGTTCTGGTGTCAGAAAGTGGAAAATGGAAACTCTCTTCAACTCCTTATGCAAGACTTGCAAAACCACTATGCATCCAACCACCCTGAGCCACTTGTTGAATCCATCTGTGTCGCCCGTAATCCAGACAACAACAAGTGGTGCAGAGCAAGGATCATGACAAGTCACCATTCCCCCGTAGTAGATGTGAGGTTTATAGACTATGGTCACACTGTACTGGTTCCCCTCCGAGATGTGCGCCCCATTGATCCAGCTTTCCTGCGTCCGCAAGCACAAGCTTTTCAGTGTTGCTTATTGAATCAGAAAACCCCATCACATCCCACAGCCATCACTGGGATTGATGATGAATTGGCGGAATTTCAGAAGTTTGTGGATTTAGGTGCTTCGTCAAACACAGGGTTTAAATGTGTTGTCCAAGCTGTAACATCTGATGAAGAAGGTCTGCCCCTTAATGTGGTGGATTTTGAATCTTCATCTCACAGTGTATGCAAGCTTCTGACTCAGCAATGTGCACAGGCTGAATCTCAAGAGCCAATCTCTACACAAGTACAATCAGATGGATACAAGTACTCTGGACATAAAATTGAGGTTGGTGGAAGAGAAAAAGTGTTTGTAACATCTTCAGAGAATGTCAATCACTTCTACTGTCAACTGGACAGGAATTCTGATTTGTTTGACGAAGTGATTGGAAATGTTAAAAAACAAATTGGCAAGCCACAGTGCAAAGATCACCAACTTGGACTTGAAAGCATTTGCTTTGCTAGGTACACTGATAATCATTGGCACAGAGCTCAAGTGGTAGAAATGTCTCCCAAACTTAAAGTGCACTTTGTGGACTATGGCAATACCCTCGCAGTGAATGGATCTGATGTGTGTCACATTCCTATCGAAGCAAGTTTTGCCAGGTCAGCTCCTGTGCAGGCTGTTCCACTTGGACTGTATGATGTCCCTCCAGAAGTGCCACAGGAAGTCAACCAGTGGTTTGCAGATCATGCAGTAAGCCATAGTTTCACTGTTTCAGTAGTAGCGAAAGACGCAAAAGGGAAGCTAATTGTAGAGCTGTTTGATGGATCTGTGAATGTAAATATGAAAGTCAGAGAGATGGTTTTGAAGATGACACAACAAAAGATAGCAAAGGGTCCTGTTCAGCAAACTGAACAGCAACTCTCTAAACATTCAAAAGACAATGTGCCAAATAAGGACTGGTCAACAGAAGAGCTCATGAATCCATCAGAATTACAGAAAATGACGGAAGAAAATCAAGTTCACAGCAACAATGGGATGTTTGCTAGAGCCGAGCTACAGAAGAGTTCACAATCCATTACCAATGTCTCTGCAACACAAGTTGAACATAAAATGATTTTGGATGAAGGAACCGAACAAACGTTAGAAGTAATTAATGAAGCCAAAGAATCTGTGTTGGTGGAGGTTTTCATACAAGGTGGCCAAAGTGACTCAGAAATGGACAAACTTTCTCTCCCTTCTGATCCCAAGATAAACCTGAACATCTACAACTACAAGAGGCCAGACGTTTCTCTAAACAAGACGGAGGAGGTATATGCTTCCTGCATTGTTGGACCAAATTACTTTTGGTGTCAGAACACCAACACTGAAGATCTAAACATAGTGTCAAGGCTTGCACAGGACGCAGGGAACACACAAAATAATGTGATGTTCTCTGAGACTTTGGGGCCTGGTGGTCCATGCCTTGCTCTTTATTCCAGTGACAACCAGTGGTATCGAGCTCAAGTAATTCAGAGCACTGAGAGTTTACTGCATGTTCTGTTTATAGACTATGGAAATGAGGCTGAAGTTGACATTGACAATGTAAGACCTCTGCCTCAAAGTCTGCTGGAAAAGGCTCCTCAGGCCTTTTTGTGCTCTTTAAATGGATTTGATGAGTCAAAGGGATCCTGGGATGACAGAGTTTATGATGACTTCCATAATCTCTTGGTTGATAAGCTACTCAGAGTAACCGTGTTTAATGTGGAAGATCATTCAGAGATGCCGACCCCCCAATGTGCAGTGCAAATAGAGTGTGACAATTTGCTTTTAAATCAAGAAATGCAAAAATACTGGAAGACATCTGCCACAGAGCATATTGAGAAAGAAAACGCTCAGCTAGAAGACACAATCCAGGAAAGTCCAACAGAGTTCAACTCAACATGCCTCAATGTTTGCACAGGAAATGTAAAAACTATGTACAAAACGCCAAACATATCCAAAAACAAGAAAGAGGATGTATATGCATCTTGTATTGTGGAGCCCCAGTACTTCTGGTGTCAATACACCAATACAGAGGAGCTCGACAAAATATGGAAACTTGTCCAGGAAGCAGGACAGGCCCAGCAGGAAAATATGCTTCTAGAGACCCTTGTTCCTGGAAGTCCGTGCCTTGCTCTTTTTTCCAGTGATGACCAGTGGTATCGAGCTCAAGTTATTTCTAAAGTTGACAATGTATTTCATGTTGTGTTTATTGACTATGGAAATGAGGCAGATGTCAACTTACAGAATGTGAGACCACTACCTCGGAGTCTACTGGACCAGGCTCCTCAGGCTTTTTTGTGCTCTTTAAATGGATTTGATTTGTCCGAAGGTTCCTGGAATGACAATGTATATGAGGACTTCTACAATCTTCTGGTTGATAAACCACTCAAACTGAACGTTTTAAACATGGAAAACCATTCAGAGATTCTCACATGTCAGTATGCAGTGGAAATGGACTGTGAAGGAGTGTGTGTAAACGCTGCAATGCAAAAATACTGGAAAACAGTATCCAAAGATATTGTTTTAATAAAAAGTCCTCAGACTGACGATTTCCTCAAGAACAATTTATCTGAGTCTAACACAACACAGCCTAGTTTCTCCAAAGGAAATATGAATATCTGCATGTACAAGAAGCCAAATGTTGCCAAAACAGGGACAGAGATGATGTACGCCTCTTGTATTGCGGAACCCAGTTACTTCTGGTGTCAGTATACCAACACTCAGGAACTCGACAAAGTAGCTCAGCTTGCTCAGGAAGCAGGAAAAGAACAACAGGACCGTGTACTCTCTGAGACTCTTGATCCTGGCAGTCCATGCCTTGCTCTGTTTTCCAGTGATGATCAGTGGTATCGAGCTCAAGTGATTTCTATAGCTGACGATACATTTCATGTTCTGTTTATTGACTATGGAAATGAGTCTGACATTGCCATTAAAAATGTAATACCACTACCCCAGAGTCTACTGGATCAGGCTCCTCAAGCATTGTTGTGCTCTTTGAATGGATTTGATGAGTCCAAGGGCTCCTGGGAGGATGGTGTTTATGAAGACTTCTACAATCTGCTGGTTGATAAACCACTCAAATTGACAGTGCTCAGCATGGATTATAATTCAAAGATCGCTTTTCCTCAATATAAAGTTGACATTGAACGTGATGGAGTAGTTGTAAATACACTGATGGACAAATATTGGAAAGACCTGAACACAGACCACAGCTTGGCAGGTTTAGGCTCAGGTTAGTGACTTCACTTGGTTTTAATTTTCTTTGTTAGTGTTAATTTGGATTTATACAATTAAAATGTATTATTATTCATATTTTATTAATGTTATGTTATACCTCATGTTCAGTGAACCAGGATGAAGAGGAGTGTTAAGGATTAAAGTCATCAAAACGCTGACAATTGACAGGTAGGACCAAACTTGTTTCTCTCAACTACTTATTTCTCCACAAGGGCAATAAGGAATTTAAAACAAACATCTCATGGGGGCTCTCTCATGATATTTCCTTGTGCAGGAGTAACCCTAAATGTATATTGAAAAACTAATTGTGACATGTTCATGAAATTTAATCCAAATTTATTTTAAAGTAAATATTTTTAATAGGCCTATGTCATTTTAAATTTGTGTGCTTGTTTCAGCTCTGGACCCAGTTGGCGGAACATGAATGTCCATTGGGGGAAGCTCACCGAGCGTAGCAGTCTTGACTTTAGTCAAATATGTTTGGCTTGTTAGAGATTTTACCACTTCAACTTTTACATAATAAATACAATGAAGTGTCATGTGGTGAAATTGTATTAATAAAAATTAATTGACTTGCTTAGATGAGTTTTGTGTTTGCATGTTTTTAAATAGTACACATTTCAAGAGTTATTTGTGCTATGAACAGCTGCATTATTATTATTATTTTTTTACGAAGATCTGTGAATAATGATAGGATTTGATCAAGAAAAAAATATTGGTAGTTGATAATTGTATCTGTTAACTTTCATTACATTGAGCTTTTTTTTTGGGTAACAATAAAAACAGGATTCTTGAAATATATCCGTCGACATCCCTATGAAGGAAGTAACCTCGCTGCACTGATCAAAACTGTACGAGATATAAATGAGTATAGCCTACATAAAATACATTTTGCTCATTAAAAAAAAGGGTTGTTTTTATTCAAGTTGTATTTCCTCTTGAGCTGTCTTGGTATTTTCCAGAAATGGTATTTCAGTGAAACATTTAGCCAAATATGGTGGTTCCGTGGTAACATTTTGTTCAGTATGTGGTTCTATGAACAAAAACTAGGAAATAAAGTGTGAACATTTTGCTTTCAATTAAGGGTAACGTTTTGAACACGGTTATGAATCTGTTTTTAATCGGTTGTTGGCCTGTAGCCTACGACGTCAGTTACTTCTTATTTACTTTTTATTCGCTATATTTAGTCTATATGAATAATTTCTCATGATACTCAGTCCCCTTTTTGTGTCACTCACTCAAAGCCCGGTTTCATACCTTTTCTACAGCAGGTGGCAGCAGTATCGTTCACTGGTTCCTGTTAGCGCTTGGTTGGCTGGTTGGCTGGTTGGCTCCTCTTTTTGTTGATTAACTGTTGCTAGGAAACCACTGCCCCGAAATGACTGAGTTGCACCAGGCAGCAGCAGCGGGGGATTTCGATGAAGTTAAGGAGATTCTGAGGCAAAATAAATGCGATCCAAATCAGAGAGACATCGACTGGAGCTTTAAGACACCTCTTCACTGGGCAGCAGCCAAAGGTAGTGTAAGAGAAGTGGCTATTTTATATTCTTATTTGATGCACCTTAACACAGCTCTTACATTTGGCCTAGTTTCACAGTCGCTTTCTGTCTTGTTTTACACTATGAAAAAGTGTCCAACATGCTTTGAATACAGTCTCAAGTAGCCTATGTTCTTATATTTCCCCTTTGGGAACATGCTCCATGAATAAAAACAGGCTGCTTTTGTAGCAGTTCAACTTAAATGTCTCCACATTTAAAGCCACTGTTTGTCCTATTGACTTTTTAAATGCAAATTGCACATCAGCAACAGGAGGCCATGGTGCAGCTTCATGGTTTAAAGGGCTTATTGCTAATTTTCCTGTTTTCCGCCCTGTTGAAAAATGTGGCATTTTGAGGTATAAGCTTTTGTTTTTGCTGTAGTAGCCTGCATCATCAGAAAACACAAAATATTTAGCATTCAGTTGGCTAATCTGTTTATTAAAAAGACCTTTAAATCAATTTTAAAGTGTAGTTCTAGGATTTACAGTGATAAATTAAGGCTGTACTCCTCAACAATTTCCCCCTAAATATTAATACAATGTATTATTATTTTCTGTTGATCACTTTGCAAATTAAATGTCAAAACATTCTATAAAAAGTTTATCCACAAGTTCCCAAAAGCCTAGGCTGCATGTCATCTTCTAAATACTTTGTTGCCTCGACTAATTGTGCTTTTTCACATACATCTGTCATTGAAAATATGCTATTTTATGACAAGAAACTGTATTCTCGGACTCTAGTACACTTCTATTTACATGTAGGTAATCTAATATTGCTTAAAAAGGCCCTATTCGTTAACTTGCAGAATGTACTGTATTGTGTCCTCCAGTTTTAAGTTGTCCCTTATCTACTATGTTGTATGTGTCGGATCACTCTCTGATGCCTTTTTCACAGGACATACAGAAACGGTTAGGATCCTCATTGAGCATGGAGCAAGGCCTTGTCTGAGGACAGAGCATGGATGGATGGCTGCACACTTTGCTGCAGAGTCGGGCCGGCTGGCTGTACTGCGGCTGCTTCACTCGCTCCATGCTCCTGTAGACAAGGAGGACTTCTGCGGTGACAAACCAGTGCGCATAGCTGAAATATACGGACACAGAGACTGCGTTGGATTCCTTAAAAAGTTAGAAATGAAGCCCACTTTTTCAATTCAACACTGCTTCATGAAACTTTGTTAGAATACTTCTGTTATACTATATACAATGCTTTATCTTAGTGTTAAATTTCAATTAAACTTCTCTTAAAAGCAATGCTTTTTCCCAACACAATCTACTCTATATATATGTGAAATGCTGTTTTTGTGTTGCAGATCAGAAACCGAGTGTCAGGCCTACCGCAAGATGGCAGCCCAGAAGGGGATTTCAGTGGATGACACAGATGAGGAGTGGGCAGAGCCGGGCAAAGAAAATGAGGACAACAGGATCTCTCAAAGAAACACTCACATGTAGACTTTACTTCCGTTTACACAACAAAGCGTACATAATCTTTGAATCTTCTCAGTTGACTGTGTGTGAGTGACATTTCAGTGTATTAACTTAAAACATGTAATAAACAGTATTGGATTACCCACATACCAACATAACTTTTTAGTTTCATTTAAAAGAATACAGTTTGAAAATATTTCCTAACAGAATAAAAAATAGATCTACTGAAAAACATGATATTGAGCAGTTATCTAGCATCACAGGTAATAAGCCAAAGTAAGCAACAACAAAAAGTAGCATCTCAAAAGAGAAAACTGACAACAACTAGCTTGTGGTTTAATGTGTAAATGTATTTTTTGTTGTTGATTTGTGGACATGTATGGGATCCTTTTCACTTAGTCAGAGTTGAGTCAGTGATGCTTTCATTAGTCGATGCTGGAGCCTGCAACGCAGAGGAAAAGAATGTAAAGAAAAAATTAACCGTAATCGTCGATTTATTTCACATTGGAGTAAACTTACTTTGCTTTTTAGACGTCTCTGTAGTTCTCCCCGAATCTGCCAAAATTGGATAAGAAAAGTTTCAATGATCTCATGTTAATATTTGTAGTTTGTAACATTTCAGTCAAACAGAATCTAAGAATCGACCTTTTTACAAAGGCTAGATTGTGCGTTGGATAAAGTGAGCCCTCAGTATTTTGTGCAGAACACCAACAATGACATTTCCTATATATGCTATATTTGAAAACTGACCCTGATCCTTAAAGGTTTTCATTTTACAATGCCAGGATCCTTAAAGCTTTTTGCATTATGAAACGAGTGTTAACTTCTTTAAAGTGCTACGTCAACATGTTGGCAAATGTCACTTTCTTTCTGAACTTTAAATGGATTTATACCACTCTTGTTTTTGATACAAATGAGGCTGAAGCGAGCGCACAAACCAGCTTTGGTTAGCTTAGCTTTTCTTAGAATAAAATGGATTTAAAAAAAGGAAAAGGCTTTAGGATGTCAGTACGCTAGGATGCAACAGAGCTTAATGTTCAATAACTAGTGATCAGTGATGCTTTGCGTGCTCAGAGGAAGACACTAAATGTATGTGATTGCTGTGAATGTGAATCTTTTACTGGGTAAAATTTCAATCAGTCAATTTGGATCACTTTTTTGCATCAATATACACTTATCACAGATTTCAGTGTAGACTTTAGATCTGTCCGGCCTGTGGCTCCTTTCCTACATGGCATTCCCCTCTCTCTCTCCTTGGTTTTCTACTCTATTCACTGTCCTATCCAATAAAGGCAAAAAGCAAAAAAAAGAAAATCCTTTACCATTGGGTCTCCCAGGAATGTAGTCAGTAAAATGAACAAACCCTGCAGATGAAATGGTAGAGGTTAATGAGCTATATCTTTACTTAATCAGAAGTTGTTTTTTTTTACAAGGATCGGATCAAACATACCTGGAACGCGTTCATCAGGGTGAAGGCATAATTAGCAACGTAAGCTATGGTTCCGTATGTAAGGTCTAGAATCATTACAGCAAAGCCGAAGACCCAAGTCACACCGAAGATTGGAGTCAGAAGAATAACCGTCCTCATGACGGTTATGACACCCTTTTTTTCTTTTTCATTAAATGATTTTGTGTGTGTAGAGCGATCCAGGAGCTTCAAAATGACCACCAGCATGGCGACTATGTTGAAGAAAGCGATGATGCCAATCGGTATGATAAATGTATAAATAGACCCTTTAAAAAGTGAAGTGTAAACCAGCCAACAAGTGTCTTTTGAGTAGTAATGGCCTTCAGCCCCTGCTTTGTTAGCAAGAAATGTAATGGAAACAATCAGCAAAGGACACACATAGCCCACGGTGAACGCCAAATTCATGGATTTTTTCTTGCTCACATTATGGAAGAGGTACAGTGCTTGGTGAAGAAGCGCGCTGCTCAGCCACAGCATCCAAAAGAACATGGCCAGGTAGCAGAAATGCTTCAGCACTACGAGGATCTTGCACCAGTTTGGTGAAATATTATCTGGCTCAGAAGAAGCTAAGAAACAACAATCTGCAACTAACAAACACAGGCAAATGTTGACATGTGCAGTGTGGCGTAAATGTAAAGAATCCGTCTTGACCACAGCGCTCCAGACAACTATTTCTATCACAAGGCTGAGAACGAGTGATATAACTGACACCGATAGTCCAACATACGTTGTTTCTGTTATCCAATGGACTTTTAAGGGATACTTTCCCATCAGTATGGCAAATGATGACAAATGCTCGCAGACGCAGACACCCTCAGAGCCTCTCTCCCACTTCCATTCACATTTATGTTTTGACCAGCTCCTGGTGTTGTTGTCCCACGATGTACAAATTATTTCGACGTTGCGAGGCCTCGGCTCAAGCAATTGGAAGTTGATCCGGACCTCGACTGAATCTGATATGTCCCTCTCAGTAGTTGTTGACACAACAATGCTGTTAGGTTCAAAATTTGCAACGTTATTGGGCAAATACGTCCCCAATTCTTTAAACCCGGCTGTTTTTACGCTGCCAGGGTTCTTTCCCTTGAGACTGACGGTGTTATTAAACACTGTATTGGTACAATGGGATTCCTGTGAGCTATTGCATGCTTCTAGCGCTACATTTCTTTTCATGTATCTCTTTGTTATGTTTGAGGTGTGAATAATTTGCTCGACAGAACTCAGATATCTTTCAGCCAGTGAAGTACTGTCTTCTTCTGTTTTCCAGGTTTCGTTTAGAGACTTGTCCAGTAAATTGCTGGATGACCCCAAAAAGTCCTGTAAAGAAAAGAGCTGGTATTATTTGTAGTCCATTCTACAGCATTACAACATGTTTATAAGTAGTTAATTGGTCTGGGTTGATTTGACAGTTGTAGACTGTGGTAAAGCAAGTGCGATTTAATTCTACATGTAACCGTTGTTGGTACCACAATGCCTTGCAGCACAAAAGCAACTGGTGAAACTGCATTCATGTTGTTTTAAAGGAAAAGGATGTCAGTAATCTTCAATTTTCTATCAAGCCAAAAGCAACCGGCATCTCATTCAATGCTGGGTGAGA